GACCCTCCTGCCTCCCTCTTTCACTTATAAAGGACACTATGAGCACATGGCACCTACCCCGATAATCCAAGATTCCTACCCCATCTCATGATCCACCTACCCCATCTCATGATCATTAATTTAATCACACCTGCAAAGTCCATTTTGTGGTGTCAGGTAAAAGATTCACAAGTTCCAGGGATTCGGACTGGGATATCTTTGGAGGCCATTATTCTGCCTACCATAGGGTCTCAGAGATCCTCCTCATTGCTTCCCTCTCCCACCCAACCTAGGAGAGTGGGGGTGTGCAATAGTAGATCTGACCCAGACGGGCCAAGCAGGGGGTCAGAAAGGGGCCCTTGCCTGGTGTTGCACAGAAGAGGGAGAGAGGATGCTCTCTGCCTGAGGGTGTTCCAGGAAGGCTGTCTGGAGGAGGCAGCTATGTTCTAAAGGATGCTCAGGAGTTGGCATTGAGGCCGGTGGCATAGCCTGCACAACACAGGAGGACCTGGGGAGGCCAGGGGTGGGGCTGAGGGTATTGGGTGGGGCTGGCCCCACTCTCTGTCTTAACCAGCTCGCTCCCAGGGGCTTTTGTGGCTTCTGCACTCTTATCAGCTTGGAGCCAGGGGCCTCATTCTCTCTTGCAGTAAATTGAGGCTGATAACTGAGCCTAGGGGTTGTCGAGCATCTGGTCTGTTGATTACTACTTTAGTGCCCGGTGTCTGCCTGCCTACCCACTGCCTTCAAACAAAGGGGCTGCCTGAAACCACCCAGGGGGATGCCTCCCACCCTTGCCCAGCCTCAGCCAATCTCCTCTTTCTCTTCTTCAGAGCTGGAGTTGTGCCCTTCTAGCCTCTCTCTGACCACCCCATCACTAATGTACACCCTGCCCCTTAGCACTTCGGCCCCAGACTTGCTCTTCCTGGCAGGCCTGGGTGCTTGTGAAGCCCGGTGCCAGAGGGCCCAGCACGGGACAGCCTTTGATTCTCTTTTCTGTAAATGAAGGACAATAAATCCTCTTTTTCTTTCATCCACAAGTGTTTACTGAGCGCCTTCTGTGTACCAGGCCGCACCAGTGTGCGGAGCAAGGACCAACCTCAGGGAGCAGACGAGGTCCAGGGGGCTGAGCCAACCGAGTCATGGTTCTGCTGGCATTGCCTCCCCCGCCACGCTCAGGGGTCCCCTGCTCCCCAAGCCCTTCCCAAATCCTGCCGTCCAGCTCTCCTACCCACCCTGCAGGAGGGACGCCAGGGCCCGGTTTTCGGGTTCCGCCACTCTTTCCTCAATGAGGGTCGGAGAGGTCCCTGCCCACGCCAGACCCATCCCCGGCCGTCGCGACACCCTCTTGTGATCAGGCCGAGGGACCAAGGACCAAGAGCGGGGCTTCGCCGGACGCTGGGAGGATCACTGTCCAGACTGACAGATGGGGAAACTGAGGCTGACCAGCTGGGCAGGTGTTGCATTCGAACCTGGGTCCTGGAAGCGTTCTGCAAGATCCCTTCTCACCTCAACCGCACGTGCTGGCATCTTTGGGTTTCCCTCTTTCCCAAGATCACAGCTGCAGTTCTCTCCTTCGCCCTTAGAGTCACGACCCTGCCTTCTCCCTCCTCATGCCCCGGGCTGGCCCCGCCCAGAACGCGGAGAGGCCGTCGGGGAAGCGCGGACCAATCGGAGGCCCTATGTAGGGTTGAAGAGGCGGGACTCTGGTCGCCATAACAACTCATCCCGCCTGCGCTGCGCCTGCGTCGTCGCCTCCACACCGCAGCCCAGTTAGGTGAGACAGGGAAGGCGCGCCAGACTCGACGGCCAATCAGGGACCCGAAGCCAGCGTTGCCAGGACGACCACGTTGCGCCGCAGAATGCGTCAGGCTCCGGGGCCGCGGGGAACTCTGGGAGCTAGCTGTAAGAACAGCACCAACACTCGGATGGCGTTGGCGAGGGGAAAGGCTGCGGCGCGCAGAGCGAGGCTGTGGCGCCCAAGGTTGTGAGACTCGAGGTTGCGGCACCCCAAGATGGGGGACAGGAGGCTGCGGGGCTTTAGGTGAGCAGCAAGCGAGAGAGCCAGGCCCCTCGAGCGCCCTCACGTGTTTTGTCCCCATGCCACGCTGGGGCGGGTCTGTGGCACAGTCTCGCGGGCTTAAGTTGTTGTGGGGCGGTGGCTGTGAGTACAGATCATATAGTTATGAATACATTTTAACGCAGATCCAAACAGGATAACGTGAGGATCCTATATAGTGAGACTCCTCAAAAAAAAAATTTTTTTTTCTTTTTAGCCGGACGTGGTGGCCTGCGCCTGTAGTCCCAACTACTCGGGAGGCTGAGGCAGGAGAATCGCTTGAACCCGGGAGGCGGAGGCTTCATTGGGCCGAAATGGCGCCACCGCACTCCAGCCCGGGCGACAGAGCGAGAGACTCCGTTTGAGGCGGGGGGGGGAAAAAAAGCTTTTTTGGCAGGGCGCGGTGGCTCAAGCCTGTAATCCCAGCACTTTGGGAGGCCGAGACGGGCGGATCACGAGGTCAGGAGATCGAGACCATCCTGGCTAACACGGTGAAACCCTGTCTCTACTAAAAAAATACAAAAAACTAGCCGGGCGAGGTGGCGGGCGCCTGTAGTCCCAGCTACTCGGGAGGCTGAGGCAGGAGAATGGCGTGAGCCCGGGAGGCGGAGCTTGCAGTGAGCTGAGATCCGGCCACTGCACTCCAGCCTGGGCGACAGAGTGAGACTCCGTCTCAAAAAAATTCGAAGTCAAATTCGAACATAGGTTGATTGGATCACATAGCTGACCTGCCCTAACCCCACACCCACCTGCAAACCTGGTTAGTGCTGAGGTCTTCTCATCCCAGGGAGACTAGGATTCGGACTGGCTCCCCTGGGGCCCGGCTTGGCGTGGCAAAACTGGGAGTCTTGCCCTAGGTTGGGGTTCCCTCTGTCAGCTGCTGCAGAAGGAGCAGAGGGTGATGGGAGAAGTGCCTAAGAGGGGCCACAAGCTACCTGTGGCCTGTGGCCTCCCACCAGGGGGATGGATGCTTTCATTTTTATCCTTGTGGAAAACTTCACATTAAGTACTGGACTTCTTCAAAGAATCTCCCAGATATCTACTTGTGCTTTCAAAAAATTACAGCTTTTTTGGAAAATAATTTACATACCATATCATTTGCCCATTTAGAGTGTACAATTCAAGGCCGGGCGTGGTGGCTCACGCTCACGCCTGTAATCCCACCACTGTGGGAGGCTGAGGTGGGCGGATCACCTGAGGTCAGGAGTTCGAGACCAGCCTGACCAACATGGAGAAATCCCATCTGTACTAAAATACAAAATTAGCCGGGTGTGGTGGCACATGCCTGTAATCCCAGCTCCTCGGGAGGCTGAGGCAGGAGAATTGCTTGAACTTGGGAGGCAGAGGTTGCAGCGAGCCAAGATCGCACCATTGCACTCCAGCCTGGGCAACAAGGAGGAAACTGTGTCTCAAAAAAACAAAACAAAAAAACCAATAGATCTGAATAGACCCCTCACCTAAGAAAAATACATAGATGGCAAATAGGCATATGAAAATATGCTCCACATCATAAGCCATTAGGGAATTGCAAGTTGAAACAATAATGAGATACTACTATACAACTATTAGAATGGCTACAATGCAAAACACTGATAGCACCATATGCTGGCAAGGTTGTGAGGCAATGGGAACTCTCATTTACTGCTGGTAGAAAGGCAAAATGGTGTATAGCCACTTTGGAAGACAGTTTGGCAGTTTCTTACATAAAGTTAAATGTAGTCTTACCATATGATATGGCAGTCACACTCCTGGGTATTTGCACAAATGAGAACTTACGTCCATGCAAAAACCACACAAATTATTATAGCAGCTTTATTCATAATTGCTCAAAACTTGAATCAACCCAGATGTCCTTCAATAGATAAATGGCTAATCTCTGTTACATCCGCACAATGGAATATCATTCAGCAATAAAATTAACTTGGCTACCAAGCTATGAAAAGGCATGGAGAGGTCTGAAATGCATATTGGTAAGTGACAGAAACCAGACTGAAAAAGCTACATACTGTATGATTACAAGTTTATGACATTCTGGAAAAAGTAAAGCTATAGAGACAGTAAAGCAATGACTGCCAGGGGCTCAGTGGGAGGGAGGAAGGGAGGAATGAATAGTAGCACAAGTAATTTTTTTTGGGCAGTAAAAGTATTTTGTGCCATATTGTAATTGTGGATACATGAGTTTATGCATTTGTGAAAACCCACATAATGTACAATACATACGGGTTTAGTTAATAATGTACTAATATTCATTTTAAAATGTTAACCAATAGGCCAGATGTGGTAGCTCATGCCTGTAATCCCAGCACTTTGGGAGGCTGAGGCAGGCGGATCATGAGGTCAGGAGATGGAGACCATCCTGGCCAAAATGGTGAAACCCTGACTGTACTAAAAATACAAAAATTAGCCGGGTGTGGTGGCATGTGCTTGTCGTCCCAGCTACTTGTGAGGCTGAGGCAGAAGAATCCCTTGAACCCGGGAGGTGGAGGTTGCAGTGAGATCGCGCCACTGCACTCCAGCCTGGGTGACAGAGCCAGACTCCATCTCAACAAAAAAAGTGAAACTAAAGTGAGGTCCAATGAAGCAGTGCCAGGAAAAACATAATGAGTTGTTAAGCCCAGGAAAGGTAACTGGTTAAGAGTAAGAGCTTGGGCCTGAGACTTCCTGGAATCAAACTGTAGCACTGCCTCCTACTGGCTTTATGACTCAGGGCAAACAGCCTATGGAAGACTCAGGCCCCCTGGACCCTCTACTCCTCTGCTCCACCCATGGGAGAGATCAGGCCCATCTCACAGAGAACAGATTTTCCTTTTTTTGAGATGGAGTGTCACTCTGTTGCCCAGGCTGGATTGCAGTGCAGCCATCTCGGCTCACTGCAAGCTCTGCCTCCCAGGTTCACACCATTCTTCTGCCTCAGCCTCCCAAGTAGCTGGGACTACAGGCGCCCACTACCATGCCTGGCTAATTTTTTGTATTTTTAGTAGAGACGTTTCACCGCGTTAGCCAGGATGGTCTTGATCTCCTGACCTCATGATGCACCTGCTTCAGCCTCCCAAAGTGCTGGGCCGCGCCCGGCCAGGAACAGATTTTCAAGAACAATTCGAGGATATATATTAGCCCAGGACAGGTTATGGGATGACCAATGTCTTCAAATTAGGCAGAAAGAGGGGACAAGTTGGGGACAGGGTACATGCGTCAGGGGAAGTAGGCAAAAAGGTGGACTGTTTAGTAGGGGATCAGGAACATAGAAAAGTGGCAAGGCTAGTGACCTTGGTACCCAGACACCAGGGGTATAACTCAGGTACTAGGTGTGAGAACAGCTCAACTCCAGGGATACTTCCATCCCCAGCCTGCAATCTCCATGGCTGAGCCTCTGATAACTTTTGTGTTATTCCTGGTTTTCAAGTCTACCTGGTCCATCAGTCAGTGCTCTTGTCTGCACTCCAGTTGGAGGAACTCATGAACTGTAAAGGGCAATCCTGTGGGGGAATGAACAGGTTGGTCAGTCCAGCCTAGGGCAGACTGACCCACCATGGCAGTCCAGGGGGACTGATGACAGGCATGTACCATGAGCTTGGGAGTGTCCCACCTGCGTCTCCACTGGAGAGAATACACAGGAGTCATTGAGGAACAGGGTTGCAAGGACTATCTGAGGATATGGGGTCAGCTGAGGACATGTTAAGGAGAGGCAAACATTGCACAGCTAGACACTGAGAGAAGGGGACAGAGTGGGGGCATGGCCAGAAAACGAATTGGGGAGCTGACAGGAGGCACCAAGACCTGCGAGGGCACAGGCTGGGCACCAGGTGAGAACAGCCCACACCTGGGGGCATTCACCGGGGTAGATCTCTTCAGGGTCCCTCTACCACAACTAGTTTTGAGTTTATGTGGTCCACCTGCTGGTGGGAATGTAGAAGCCATCAGACCTATGGAGGATGAGTTCTTCAGAGTCCAGCCCAGGAGAGGCCAAAACACCATGCCCCAGCAAGTGAGAATAATCCTTACTCCAAGACAAACACAGAACTGCACAAAATGAACATCCAGGGAAGGCTCCCAGGCAGGACCCGGTGGCCCCACACGCACCCATGTCAGTGCATGCACTGCCTGGAATCTTACAGGAAGTGACCGAGCTGGACATGACCTGCTGCGAAGATTCAGAGACTTCTGAGCCCCGATCTTGGCCACTCGTGGCCCTTGGGTAGACTGGAGTGTCCACTCAGTCACTTGTTAGAGGAGGTGGCATGATCTGGGCCTCAGTGCCACGACCAACAGCGACTTCCAAGGGGAACATGGAAAGAGCAGAGGAAAAAAACTAGAGTTTTGGCTGGGGAGAGTGATGATGCCAGTGATCTTACCCAGCACCTAGTGCGAAGTTCTCCTGCATCACCCTGAGGCAGAAGTTCCTCTGGACCTTGCCTAAGACCTCTGTTCGTCCGGGGGGACACAGGCCCACATGCTCTTAACATGAACGCGTCTGACTTCAGCGCAAGACACCCAGGAGCCCGGTTACTCTCCTGTCAGCGTCCTCACCTGATGTGTCCCAGACGCCGTGTCCTGACGTACTCAGTCATGTACTCACCCTCCTGTCCCAGGCCCCCATACCTGAGATCACCATGGCCTGATATGGGGTAGACTACGAGTCTACCGTGCCTCAGCCATGTGCAGGGCGACGTGTCCCTGACATTCACACCTGTGGCCCACACGTCGCCCGCACTGTGGGGCGCGGAAAGCCCAACACATCTGAAACACAACCGCTGACCTTCCCCCGACACCGCCTCTTAACGAGGTCCCCCGGCCCCCGGTCCCAGACGCTCTTCGAAGACTTGCCTGATGACAGGCATGTACCATGTTTCTGGCTGGGACGTTTTTCTGAGCCTTGCTCCGGGCTCCGTAAAGCGGACACGGTGCTAAGGAGAGAGGATTTCGGGGCGGTTGCGGGCACAGGCGGGCTTCTGCGGAGGCCCTGGCGAACGCCCCCGCGCGGCGCGGTCCGATGGCCCCACGGGGCCGCCCCTCCACTGTGAGGTCACCGGAGCTCAGCAACGTTCACTGCGGCCAGGACGCGTACAGGTCATCGAAGCAGAACTTTCCGACTCTCGCGCCTTCGCTCGTTGGCCCTGCACATAGATGGCATCAGTCTGGTCACCAACCTCTTGTCGCTTTGGGCTGGACACAGTTTCCAGTAGTAACACCAGAGGCATCAATAAGACCAGCGGACCCTCCTGGAAACCGCCCACGGCCCAACGATCCCACTGCCGCAAACTGCCCCAAAGCCAGCGCCGAAAGCCGAAGCCGAAGCCGGAAGCCCCGCCCCGCGCAGCGCCCGCCCGAACGTTCCCCTTCCTGGGCCTCCATTGGCCAAGTCTGAACGGTCGCACGTCGAGTCGCCTTATGGGAAATGTAGTTCACGCCCCGCTTCAGGAGCTAGCGGCGCCCTCCCTTATCGCCTTGGCAACGACCCAGCCGCGCCGCGAGGAGAGCCGGGAATGGAGGTCGTGGCGTGAGGGGCGCCGAGCTACGGGAGGCGGAGGCCACAGGAGTTCCGGGAGTTCCGGCGTTGCCCGGCAGTCCGCAGTCCTCGGCGGGAAATCTGTCCCGGCGCCCCAGGCAGCTCTGCGTGGGCCGGAGTGACTTCCTCGCGATCCCCTGGGCGAGGTGAAGGGCAAGGACCCTTGCCGCGCCTTCCACGCTCCGTGCCCCACCGGCGAGTGGCTCCATCTTCCTCGGACTTGTCGCTCGCGGACAGGCGCCGTGGGTCTCCCGGGCCTCCGTACCGTTCTCCTTCCCCGCGGCTCCGGGAAGCGGCTCCCTGTTTTCGGACGCGTTTCAACCGCTCGGGGAGAGCTTCCCGGGAAGATTCCACCGCGGCCGAGGGTTTCAGCCCCTGGGACGCGTTTCGGCTGAGGCCGTGGGTCCAGGCCACGGGTTCCGCCCGCACTGTCCGATGGCCGGGGAGGCGGAGGTGAGCAGAGGGTGCCTCCGAGGAATGAGGGGGGCCGCCAAGTGGGGGGCGGCGTGTGCCAGGGCAGAGTTGGAGGAGGGCAGGAGGTCTGCGTATGGTTCTCGGGGGAGGTCTTTGACGCAGGGCTGGGGCATGCCCTTGGCAGTGGGAGCCATTGGAGATGTGCCGCAGGACTGGGACAGGATGGGGTCGTAGTTGCTGTGCCAGGCACTGTGGAGCCGCATGTGGAGAACGGCGTGTGGAAGGCCAGGCGATTGCCTATAGGGTAAACTGGGGAGGTTCTGCTGAGGGTGTAGAGTTTTAGGCATTCTCCTGTCCAGTTTTGTGCCTGTCGAGCAGGAGGCAGACTGGACTCTGGGACCAGGTACTTGGGACCTAAGGGAGAAGGATGAGCATAGGTTTGGTTGCGTCTGAGAGGTGTGATTTCTGGGACTGGAATTGGCAGGCAGGAGATAGAGTGGAGCCTGTGTGCTTGGCCCTGCACATAGATGGCATCAGTCTGGTCACCAGCCTGTTGTCGCTTTGGGCTGGACACAGTTTCCAGTAGTAACACCGGAGACATCAATAACACCAGCAGCTCTGATATTCCTCTGGGATAGGAGAAGGAAGGTATAAGGGTATGTGTAGGGAGTATAGTGAGGAGGGGTGTGGGTCTCACAGGGAAGGATAATGTCGGGGAGATGTGATAGGACCCTGAGATACAGGTCAAGGGCCTGAATATGTCCATCTGTCCATATTTTGGTTGTTTTTTTCTGCCCATCATTGACCCCAAGGTTCAGTTGGACCCATCATTGCAGGGCTTGGTGATGTTTGAGGATGTGGCGGTATATTTCTCCAGGGAGGAGTGGGGGCTCCTTAATGTGACCCAGAAGGGCCTATACCGGGATGTGATGCTGGAGAACTTTGCACTCGTTAGCTCACTGGGTAAGTCTCTCACACTGTCCCTCAGCACACTGACTACCCCCGCATTTTCCCCATGCGAAGTTCTGTCCGTAACGAAGCCAAACCACAGGAGCTGCTTCTTCCCAGATTCCCTGTTGTAGGTGTTGTGGGTGGTGGGACTCGGCTGTGTGCTCTTTCTCTGCCTTTCTCTGAGCAATGCTGTTGGCAGTCTCAACACCTCTTGCCCCAGGAGCCAGTGGAGCAGGTTTTGGGGGTCAGATGTTTCATAGTTTGCCCACCAAATCCCACCAAGCTCTGCCTCTTCCTGGCCAGTGACTCTTGAAGACATGGCTTCTCTGTGCTCCGGGTTTTGCCTTCCTACAAAATAAATTTTGCAGGGACCTCCCTGGGCCAGCCTTGACCCATGAATTTTAATCAGAACAGTTTGAGGAATATTACTTTTTTTTTTTTTTTTTTCCTTTTTTGCGACAAGAGTCTCGCTCTGTTGCCCAGGCTGGAGTGCAGTGGTGCAATCTTGGCTCACCACTACCTCCGCCTTCAGGGTTCAAGAGATTCTCCTGCCTGAGCCTCCCAAGTAGCTGGGACTACCGGCTCATGCCACCATGCCCGGCTAATTTTTGTATTCTTAGTAGAGATGGGGTTTCACTATGTTGGCCAGGCTGGTCTCGAACTCCTGACCTCATGATCTGCCCACCTTGGCCTCCCAAAGTGCTGGGATTACAGGCATGAGCCACCGCACCCAGCCAATATTGCCATCTTAGTATCAAATCTTTAGGTCAATGAACATGGGATATGTTTTCATTTATTTAGCTCTTTTGTTTTTTCAATGTTTTGTATTATCAGTGTACAACGGTACTACTTTTTTTTTTTCTTTTTTTGATGGAATCCCGCTCTGTTGCCCAAGCTGCAGTGCAGTGGCGCGATCTCAGCTCACTGCAAGCTCCGCCTCCGGGGTTCATGCCATTCTCCTGCGTCAGCCTCCCAAGTAGCTGGGACTACAGGCGCCCACCGCGCCCCGCTAATTTTTTGTATTTTTAGTAGAGACGGGGTTTCGCCATGTTGGCCAGGCTGGTCTTGAACTCCTGACCTCAGGTGATCCACTGCCTTGGCCTCCCAAAGTGCTGGGATTACAGGCGTGAGCCACCATACCTGGCTTGATGCTATTTTAAATGGAATTGTTTTTTTAATTTAATTTTTGACTGTTTGTTGTTAGTTGTAGAAATGTAATCAGTTTTTGTATACTAATCTTGTATCCTGTAGCATTACTAAGTCTGTTTATTAGTTCAAATAGTTTTTTAGTGGATTCCTTCCTATTTCCATATATAAGATCATGCCATCTATGAATAGAAATAGTTTTACTTCTTCTTTTGCCTCACTGACCTAGCTAGACCCTCCAGTACTTTATTCAGTAGAAATGGGGAGAGAAGACATCCTTGTTCCCTATCTTGAGGGTGTTCAGTCTTTCACTATTAAGTATGGTGTTAGCTGTTGGTTTTTTGCAGATGCCCATTTCAGGTGAGGAAGTTCCCTGCTCTTTCTAGTTCATTTAATGTGTTTACTAAGAAAAGTCACGGTCAGGTGCAGTAGCTCATGCCTGTAATTTCAGCACTTTGGAAGGCCAAGGCGGGTGGATTACCTGAGGTGAGGTCAGGAGTTCAAGACCAACGTGGTCAACATGGTGAAACCCCATCTCTACTAAAAATAAAAAATTAGCCGTGAGAGGTGGCACATGCCTGTAATCCCAGCTACTTGGGAAGCTGAGGCAGGAGAATCGCTTGAACCTGGTAGGTGGAGGTTGCAGTGAGCTAAGATTGTGCCATTGCACTCCAGCCTGGGCAACAAGAGCAAAACTCCGTCTCAAAAAAAAGAGAAAAAAAAGAAAGGTCACTAGATTTTGTCAAATGCTTTTCCAATGTCTAATGAAATAATTGTGTGATTTTTGTCCTTTCTTCTGTTAACGTGGTGTATTACAATAATTGTCTTCTTTTTTTTGAGACGGAGTCTTGTTCTGTCTCCAGGCTGGAGTGCAGTGGTGCGATCTCGGCTCACTGCAACCTCCACCTCCCGGGTTCAAGTGATTTTCCTGCCTCAGCCTCCCGAGTAGCTGGGACTATAGGTGCACACCACCATACCCAGCTAATTTTTGTATTTTTCATAGAGATGGGGTTTCACCATGTTGGCAAGGATGGTCTCAATCTCTTGACCTTGTGATCTACCCGTCTCAGTCTCCCAACAGTAATTGATTTTCAAATGTTCAACCTTGCATTACTGGGATAAATTCCCTGTCATGGCTTATAATACTTGTTTTTTTATTTTTTGAGACAGAGTCTTACTCTGTCACCCAGGCTGCAGTTCAGTGGCACAATCTCGGCTCATTGCAACCTCCACCTCCTGGGTTCAAGTGATTCTCCTGCCTCAGCCTCCCGAGTAGCTGGGATTACAGGCATGAACCACTATGCTCGGCTAATTTTTTAATTTTTAGTAGAGACGGGGGTTTCACCATATTGGCCAGGGTGGTCTTGAACTCCCGACCTCAGGTGATCCACCCGCCTCGGCCTCCAAAGTGCTGAGATGACAGGTGTGAGCCACCATGCCCGACCAGTGGTGTAGTTTTCTTATAATGTCTCTGTATTGAGTATGAGGGTAATTTTGGCGTCAGTGGATGAGTTGGGAATGTTTCCTTCTCTTCTGTTTTCTGGAAGAGTTTGTTAATTATTGGTGTTAATTCTTATTTCAGTATTGTTAGTATTCACCATTGAAGCCGTCAGGGCTTGGGGTTATGTGCCTGTTGGGGGGAAAGTTTTTAAATAACAACAAGAAAAACCTCTTTGTTACACTTTTATTTAGATTTTTTTATTTCTTCTTGAATCAGTTAGTTTTGATAGTTTGTGTCTACTTGGGAATTTGTCCATTTCATCTAAGTTATCTAATTTGTTGGCATACATTTTTACATAGTATTTCATTATTTTTTAATTTTTCCATTCCTGTTTGAAGTTGTATTGAGTCTTCTCTCTGTTTCTTGTCACTCTAGGTAAATGTTTGCCAATTTTGTTGATTTTTTCAAAGAACCAAATTTTGGTTTGTTGATTCTCTTTTTTAAATCTCTGTTTCATTTGTTTCTGCTCTAATATTTATTATTTTCCTCCTTTTGCTATCTTTGGGTTTAGTTGTTTTTCTTTTTCTTGTTCCTTGAGATGTAAAGTTAGGTTATTGGTTTGAGATCTTTTAAAATATGGGTATTTATAGCTATAATGTTCCCACTAAGCACTGCGTTTTCTGCATTCCATGATTTTTTGTTGTTTTTTTTTTTCTTTTTCTGTTTTCTTTTTTTACTTTTTCTTTTTGAGATGGAGTCTTGTTGCCCAGGCTGGACTGCAATGGCGTAATCTTGGCTCACTGCAATCTCCACCTCCTGGGTTCAAGTGATTCTCCTGCCTCAGCCTCCCAAGTCGCTGGGATTACAGGCATGTGCTGCCATGCCCGGCTAATTTTTTTGTTTTTGTTTTTGTTTTTGATTTTTGAGATGGAGTCTTATGCCGCCCAGGCTGGAGTGCAGTGGTGCAATCTTGGCTCACTGCAACCTCTGCCCCCCAGGTTCAAGCGATTCTTCTGCCTTAGTCTCCCAAATGGCTGGAATTACAGGCATGTGCCACTATGCCTAATTTTTGTATTTTTTTTTTTTTGTATAGACGAGGTTTTGCCATGTTAGCCAGGCTGGTCTGGAACTCCTGACCACAGGTGATCTGCCCACCTCGGCCTACCAAAGTGCTGGGATTACAGGCGTGAGCCACCGCGCCTAGCCTAATTTTGTATTTTTAGTGGAGACGGGGTTCCTCCATGTTGGTCAGTCTGGTCTTGAACTCCCGACCTTACATGATCCACCCGCCTCGGCCTCCCAAAGTGCTGGGATTACAGGCGTGAGCCACCGCCCAGCCTGTTGTGTTTTTATTTTCATTCCTCTCAAAGTACTTTGTAGTTTTCATGTGATTTATTTGTTCTTTGACTCTGGATTTTTAGGAATGTTTTGTTTAAATTCCTTTAATTTGTGAGTTTCCCAAATTTCTTTCTGTTGTTGATTTCTGTTTTAATTCATTTGTGGACAGAGAACATACTTGATGTTATTTCAGTCCTTTGAAATCTATTGAGACTTATTTATTTATTTGTTTGTTTGTTTGTTTTGAGACAGAGTCTCACTCTGTCGCCCAGGCTGGAGTGCAGTGGCACGATCTCGGCTCACTGCAAACTCTACCTCCTGGGTTCACATCATTCTCCTGCCTCAGCCTGCCGAGTAGCTGGGACTACAGGCGCCCGCCACCACGCCTGGGTAATTTTTTTTTTTTGTATTTTTAGTAGAGACAGGGTTTCACTGTGTTAGCAAGGATTGTCTCGATCTTCTGACCTTATGATCCACCCGCCTCAGCCTCCCAAAGTGCTGGGATTACAGGCGTGAGCCACTGCACCTGGCCGAGCCTTATTTTGTATCCTAGCAAATGGTATGTTCTGAAGACCGTTCCATGTGCACGTGACAATGTATATCCTGCTGTTGTTAGGTGGCATGCTCTGTAGGTGTCTGTTAGGGCTAGTTGGTTTTCATTGTTGTTCAAGTCTGCTATGTCCTCGTTCATTTTCTTCTTAGTGGTTCTATTCATTATTGATGGTAGGAAATTACAATCTTTACTATTGCTGAACTGTCTGTTTCTTCAGTTATGTCAGTTTTGGTTCATAGAAAGGCTTTTTTTTTTTCCTTTTGTTTGTTTGTTTGTGTTTTTGAGATGGAGTCACACACTGTCCCCCAGGCTGGAGTGCAGTGGCGCAATCTCAGCTCACTGCAAGCTCTGCCTCCCAGGTTCATGCCATTCTCCTGCCTTAGCCTCCCGAGTAGCTGGGACTACAGGTGCCTGTCACCACACCCGGCTAATGTTTTGTATTTTTAGTAGAGATGGGGTTTCATCATGTTTGCCAGGATAGTCTTGATTTCCTGACCTCGTGATCCACCCGCCTTGGCCTCCCAAAGTGATGGGATTACAGGCGTGAACCACCGTGCCTGGCTTGCTTGTTTGTTTTTGAGACAGGGTCTCACTCTGTTGCCCAGGCTGGAGTGCAATGGTGTAATCATGACTCACTGATGCTTTGGCCTCCTAGGCTGAAGCAATCCTCTCACTATGGCCTTCCTAGTAACTGGGACTGCAGGTGGTGCATGCCATCATGCCTAGCTAATTAAAATAATACATTTTTTGTAGAGTTGGGGTCTTACTGTGTTGCCCAGGCTGGTTGCGAACATCTGGGCTTAACGATCTCCTACCTCACTTTCCAGAGTGCTGGGATCGCAGGCATGAGCCACCATGCCCAGCCTGTTTCTTTTACTACCTGTCGCCCGCAGGACTTGCACCTTCGAGATCCCCTGTGTTTTCCCAACTGAAGAATGATGAACAGTCGTGGGTGCCCAGCTGGGTGGATGTGACTCCAGTCAGCAGAGCAGAAGCCAGGAGAGGTTTTGGTCTTGGTAAGTGGAGTGGAGGGGAATACCTTGGTTTCAACAGTAGGCTCACAGAATGCTGAGTATCTGCATACACTGTTACCTTGGTGTTGAGGGCAGTGACCATACCTTATTTCCTTCCACCTTTCCTGTCTTATCTGGACACTGTGCAGTCTGCCATCTCTACCATGACTTTCAGGCCCCGCATGTTCCTGCCTGTCTGGCCTGTGTCTCCTCATTGCCCTTCTCTGTATCTGTGCAGAGCTGTCTATTATTGGCGACTCAGTGCGTGTCTTGAGATGTGCTCATATCCTTAAACAGGTATTTGAACTTCAGCCCATCCTTAATTTTTACTTAAACACTAGCTACTACTTTGGAATCACATTTTGCTGGGTCTAGATGCATGCCTCCTCATAATGCTTGACTGTCCCCAGCAGCCAAGGCCCTGCTGAAACCGTTTGCAGAGGGGTGACTTGGAGACCCCACTTCTCTTCCCTGCACTGCATCCTATCTTGTGCCTTCATCTCAGTTGAGGTTTTCCTTATTCTGTAGTCTGGTGGAGCCATGTTCAGTTGGGCCAGGCTTTCCCAGTCCAGACCTTTCCTAGCAACCTTTCAGCAATTCTTCTTTTTTTTTTTTGAGATGGAGTTTTGCTCTTATTGTCTAGGCTGGAGGGCAGTGGCGCGATCTCAGCTCACCGCAACGTCCGCCTCCGGATTCAAGTGATGCTCCTGCCTCAGCCTCCCGAGTAGCTGGGATTACAGGCATACGCCACCATGCCTGGCTAATTTTGTATTTTTAGAGGAGACGGGGTTTCGTCATGTTGGTCAGGCTGGTCTTGAACTCCTGACCTCAGGTGATCTGCCCAGCTTGGCCTCCCAAAGCACTGGGATTACAGGCGTGAGCCACCGCGCCTGAGCCTTTCAGCAATTCTATGGAGTCCCTTTGGGTGTGTCTGACATGCACTGGTGATGAAGGTACCTCCTCCCTCTAGTTCAACTCTTAGTAACAGATTCATCTCTGCTTTCAGATGGTCTATGTAGAGTGGAGGATGAGAGAGCCCGTCCCGAGCATCTAAAGAGCTACAGAGTCATCCAGCCCCAGGACACTCATGGTGAGGGGAAACCAAGAAGGCACACTGAGCATGGGGCAGCCTTCCCACCTGGTTCCAGTTGTGGGCAACAGCAAGAAGTCCATGTGGCAGAGAAGCTGTTCAAATGCAGTGACTGTGGGAAGGTGTTCTCAAAGGCCTTCGCCCTCCTTGACCATCTGATAACGCATTCTGAAGACAGACCCTTCAGACGCCCAACAGGCAGAAGTGCTTCCAAGGAGAAGTCAACTCACATTAACCCCCGAAAAATTCAACCTGGAGAAACAGCCCATGTGTGTAATGAGTGTGGGAAGGCCTTCTGTTACCCGTCCAAGTTGAGGAAACACCAGAAGGTTCACACAGGCATAAAACCTTTTAAGTGTAGTGACTGTGGGAAAACCTTCAACCGCAAAGACGCCCTGGTTCTACACCAGAGGATTCACACTGGAGAAAGGCCTTATGAGTGCAGCAAATGTGGGAAAACCTTCAGTGTTCTGTCTACCCTCATTCGGCACCGGAAAGTGCACATTGGAGAAAGGCCCTATGAGTGTACAGAATGTGGGAAGTTCTTTAAATACAGTAATAGCTTCATTCTTCACCAGAGAGTTCACACTGGAGAAAGGCCTTTTGAATGCAAGCAATGTGGGAAAGCCTACGTGACCCGTTCAGGCCTCTATCAGCACTGGAAAGTCCACACTGGGGAACGGCCCTATGAATGTAGCCTGTGTGGGAAAACCTTCACTACCAGATCCTACCGGAATCGGCACCAGCAGTTCCACACTGAAGAGAGGTCTTATGAATGTACAGAGTGTGGGAAAGCCTTCAAACATAGTTCCACCCTCCTTCAGCACAAGAAAGTCCATACTTCAGAAAGGCCAGGAGGACAGGTCACATGGGAAAGTCATTAGCTGCTGGCACCGTGTTCATCAGGAAGGGTCTTTTTCCAGAAAGGAGATGGAGGAGAGTGGCCATGAGAGTGCCATCTGAAAGAAGCTAAACCTTGTACATCCCAACATCCACCCCGGGGAGAGTTCCCATGTGTGCCTGGCGTGTGGGAAGCTTTCAGGAGCCACACTGCACTCTGACTCGCCTGGGGCTGTTGGGAGTGTCACATCACTGTCAGTTTACCCACCGCCATCCTCCTCTGTCCACCCCGTAAGGTCCCTACAGCAAGCGGGACAGGAGACCTTGTGCTCCTTGCTCTAAACAGTAGAGAATCATTAATGGTAGAGCCCGAAACAGACCTCATTCCCTACCCTTGACTGGTTTAGCTGTGGACATGACCCACCTCTGGCCAGAGGAACTGAGCTGGTATCTGCTGGGGGCTTCCTGGGAAGGTTTACCATTTTCATGGACATGGTTGACATCATACGTGGTATTTGTCATGCTCTAGCATGGACTGTCTCATACTGCTCTGGACTGTGTGGCAATAAAGGCTTTATCATTTAAGCCGCCTAATTTTTTTTTTTTAATATTTTTGAGATGGTCTTATTCTGTTGCCCAGGCTGGAGTGCAATGGTGCCATCATAGCTCACAGCAGCCTTGAACTCCTGGTCTCAAGGGATCTTCCTGCTTCAGCCTCCTGAGTAGCTGGCACTACAGGTGTGTGCCATCACACTTGGCTAATTTTTTTTTCTTTCTTTTTTTTTTCGTAGACAGGGTCTCACTACATTGCCCAAGCTGGTCTCGAACTCTGAGCCTCAAGCTATTCTCCTGCCTTGGCCTCCCAAAGTGCGGGGAGCCACTGTGCCTGGCCTAGATTTTTAGAGACAGGGTCTCACGCTCTTGCCCAGGCTGGAGTGCAGTGGTGTGATCCTAGCTCATTGCAGACTTGAACTACTGGACTCAAGTGATCCTCCTGTTTCAGCATCTTGAATAGCTAGGACTGTACTTGTGTGGCACTACGCCTGGCTAATTTAAACATTTTTTTATAGAGACAGGATCTTGCTACATTGCCCAGGCTGGTCACGAACTCCTTGCCTCAAGCAGTTCTCTTGCCTCAGCCTTCCAAAGTGCTGATATTATAGCTGATATTATATTATATCTATATACTATAGATATTATAGTGCTCAGCCACTGTGCCTTGCCAAGTCACTTTTAATATTGAGGTTCTGGGGCTGGGCGCAGTGGCTCACATCTGTAATCCCAGCACTTTGGGAGGCCGAGGCAGGCGGATCACGAGGTCAGGAGATCAAGACCATCCTGGCTAACATGGTGAAACCCCATCTCTACTAAAAATACAAACAAAATTAGCCGGGTGTGGTGGCAGACGCCTGTAGTCCCAGCTACTCAGGAGGCTAAGGCAGGAGAATGGCGTGAACCCGGGAGGCGGAGCTTGCAGTGAGCCGAGATCGCACCACTGCACTCCAGCCTGGGCGACAGAGCGAGACTCCATCTCAAAAAAAAAAAAAAAATTGAGATTCTGATCCCTGTGCTTGGAGAGATTGAGAATAGAATCAGGCACTATCACCATAAGTTGAGGGAATGGCTTTTGTGGGGGTGGTCTCTTGAGTTTTTTCTGCCTCACTGGGGATGGCGGGATGACAGAAAATAGCTCTAATCAAGGTTGGCCTAATTTGTTTTGGCCCCTGAGTCCTCCAGGGAAAGACTTGTAGTCTGGATGTCAGGCTTTTTTTGTGGGTCCGGAACTCACCTTGAGGAAGGGAATAGTTGGTGAGAGATCTTCTGTATGTTTATGGACAGAAAAAGTTGCGTTCTTTGTTCCCAGGGAATGTTCCAGAACTTCCAGCATTAGTCAGAAGGAGCTGTTTCCATTTTCAGCTCAGAAGCCATATTCTCCAAAATCTGGAACATGGAGGTAAGTTCTAGACTGACTGTAAAACCCTTAGGGGCCTGCTGGGTAAAGTAATCTGAGTATAGTAAGTGGGCATAGAAATAGTGAAGCAGTATGGAGTGAAGTGTCTGGTAAACAAGAGGGCTTGAGCCAGTTCTAAAGACGCATCCACAAATGTTCCAGCAACTGAGGTTTCATGGGGTGAGGGCACCAGAACTTCTCAGCAATTGCAGACCTGTTATATGTAGCAAGCTCACTGTCAGCAAATAATCTACAGACTTTCTGGATTCTCATATCCTCTCTGGGCTGTTCTCTTCTCATGGCCATTATCCTGAGACTGAAGGATTCTGTAGTCATGGGATGTGCCTTTTCTGACCTGGCCAGTACTCCTGGTGTCTCTGGATGCTGTGGCCTTTTCCACTGTCAAGTTTTTGCTGTCATAGTGTCAGGGCTCTCCCTCTAGGGCTCAAGGGAGACAGGTGGGGTAACCAAAGTATGGATCCAGATCTTGGGGTTTATGGGGCCTTTTCCGAGTCTTGCTGTGTCACGCAGCCTGGAGTGCAGTGGTATGATCACCACTCACTGCACCCTTGACTCCTGGGACTCAAGTGATCCTTCTACCTCAGCCTCCTGAGTAGCAGAGACTACAGGTGCATGCCACCATACCCAGCTAATTTAAAAAAAAAAATCGTTTTAGGCTGGGCGTGGTGGCCCATGCATGTAATCCTAGCACTTTGGGAGGCCAAGGTGGGCGGATCACTTTAGGTCAGGAGATCGAAACCAGCCTGGCCAACATGGTGAAACCCCATCTCTACTAAAAATACAAAAAAATTAACAGGGCATCGTGGTGGGCACCTGTGATCCTAGCTACTTGGGAGGCTGAGGCAGGAGAATTGCTTGAACCTGGGAGGCAGAGGTTGCAGTGAGCCAGCATTGCACCACTGCACTCCAGCCTGGGTGACAGAGCAAGACTCTGTCTCAAAAAAAAAATTTTTTTTGGCAGGGGGTCAGGATTAGTGGCTTATGCCTGTAATGCCGGCACTCTGGGAGACTGAGGTGGGAGGATCGCTTGAGCCGAGAAGTTCATGACCAGCCTGGGCAACACGGCAAGACCCCATCTCTTTGTTTTTTTGTTTTTAAGAGATAAGGTTTTGCCGTGTGCTCAGGCTGATCTTGAACTCTTGGGCTCAAGTGATCTTCCAGCCTCAGACTCCCAAAGTGCTAGGTTTACAGGTGTCACACTGTTCCTGGCTTATACCCAATTTTTTTTTTTTTTTTTTGAGACGGAGTATCACTCTGTTGCCCAGGCTGGAGTGCAGTAGCGCGATCTCAGCCCACTGCAACCTCTGCCTCCTGGAGTCAAGCGATTCTCCTACCTCAGCCTCCCAAGTAGCTGGGATGATAGGCACCCGCCACCGTGCCTGGCTAATTTTTGTATTTTTAGTAGAGACGGGGTTTCACCATGCTGGCCAGGCTGGTCTCGAACTCCTAACCTTGTGATCTGCCCACCTCAGCCTCCCAAAGTGCTGGGATTACAGGCGTAAGCCACCACGCCCAGCCTATATACCCACTTTTGAAGACATGAGAGATGCTAAATGTTATTCAGAATGGGCTAAAAAATGGGTGTTAACTTCCGTGTGTTGCCAAGGCAATGGCAAACTGCAATGGCAATGACGGGCCTGTCTTGTGGGGCGCTTTCAGCGCCTCTTGCTGATTTCAGCGTCTTCAACCTGCTCTGGAGTAGAGTTCCATCTGCCTCCTCCCTCAGCTTCACAAAAATCCACTGAAGGAGGAATTACCTTCATTTTCCATTGCTTCCCCACTTCCCCGGCCTGTGCACTCAGACTGGCTGCTGGATAGGATATTGATCACCTTGCTGCCTATAGAAATCTCAGTGCTGGCCGGGCGCGGTGGCTCACACCTGTTATCCCAGCACTTTGGGAGGCCGAGGCGGGCGGATCACAAGGTCAGGCGATCGAGACCATCCTGGCTAACACGGTGAAACCCCGTCTCTACTAAAAATGCAAAATATTAGCCGGGTGTAGTGGCGGGCGCCTGTAGTCCCAGCTACTTGGGAGGCTGAGGCAGGAGAATGGCGTGAACCCGGGAGGTGGAGCTTGCAGTGAGCTGAGATCGCACCACTGCACTCCAGCCTGGGCGACTGAGCAAGACTCTTGTCTCCAAAAAAAAAAAAAAAAAAAAAATCTCAGTGGTGCTTTTTTAGGGGGAATGGATGCCAATTCAAATTGTTAAGTTTTTTTTTTTTTTGAGACGGAGTCTCCCATCGCCCAGGCTGGAGTGCAGTGGCGCAGTCTCGGCTCCCAGGTTCAAGTGATTCTCCTGCCTCAGCCTCCCGAGTAGCTGGGATTACAGGCGTGTGGCTCCATACCAGCTAATTTTTGTATTTTTAGTAAAGACGGGGTTTCACCATGTTGGTCAGGCTAGTCTCAAACTCCTGACCTCGTGATCCGCCCACTTCGGCCTCACGAAGTGCTGGGGGATTACAGGTGTGAACCACTGCGCCCAACTGTGTAATTTTAAAAATGTAATTTATAAAAGCATAAAATTATGAAATGCTTAGAAATAAATTTGACAAAATTATGCAAGACTTGTACACTGAAAACTACAAAACGTTGCTGAGAGAGACTGATTGAAGAACACCTAAGTAAATGAGGACATTTACCATGTTCATGAACTGGAAGTCTGAATATGTTAATCCTCCCCAAGTTGGTTTGCGGATTCAATGCAGTCCCAGTAAAAATGTCACTAGGTTTTTTTTGGTTTTGACTCGCTCTGTAACTAGAGCCAGAGTGCAGTGGTGCAATCTTGTCTCACTGCAACCTCTGCCTCCCGGGTCCACGCCATTCTCCTGCCTCAGCCCCTCAAGTAGCTGGAACTACAGGTGCGCACCACCACGCCTGGCTAATTTTTGTATTTTTAGTAGAGACTGGGTCCCACCATGTTGGCCAGGCTGGTCTCGAACTCTTCACCTCAAGTGATTTGCCCACCTCGGCTTCCCAAAGTGCTGAGATTACAGGTGTGAGCCACTGTGCCTGGCCTGGCTTTCTTAAAAACAGAAATATACTTGCTAATTCTAAAATTCACATGGAAATGCAGAGGACCAAACAACTTTAAAATGAATAAAGTGAAGAATTTATATAGCATGATTTCAAGACTTACTACAGAGCTACAGTTAAAAAAAAAAAAAGTAGAACCGAATCTAGAAATAGACACACATAGATCATCAGTTGATTTTAGAGAGCAGCAGAGGTAATTCAGTGGAGGAAAGTATAGTCTTTTCAACACACAGTGCTGGAACAATTGGATAGCCATACTCAGAAGCAAAGAAAACAGAATGGAAACCTTGATCCTTAAATCACACCGCATCAAAAATTAAATTGAGAGGGGGCTCCAAGATGGCTGAATAGAGGCATCTGGCAATTGCCTCTTCCACAAAGAGGCAACGAAATAGCGAAATAGTGAGGAGATTATCACATTTTGAATACAGTACCTAAGAGAAAACGATAGAATTCAGAGAAGTGACAGGAAACACCTGAGGCACAGAAGAAGGAAGTGAGAATCCAGCTTGGCTGGGAGAGGCTCCCCAGTGCAGGGAAAGGGAAAGTGAGACATCCTCAGTGGTCCAAGTTCCTACCATGGTCTCCAGCCATCCCAGTCACAAGAGATCCCCTTCATCTTTTTTTTTTTTTTTTCCTGGAGTGCAGTAGTGTGATTTCAGTTTACTGCAACCACCGCCTCCCGGGTTCAAACAATTCTCGTACCTCAGCCTCCCAAGTAGCTGGGATTACAGGTGCACACCACCATGCCTGGCTAATGTTTGCATTTTTAGTAGAGACGGGGTTTCGCCATGTTGGCCAGGCTGGTCTCGAACACCTGACCCCAATTGATCCACCCGCCTCTGCCTCCCAAAGTGCTGGGATTACAAGTGTGAGCCACTGCACCTGGCCAGATCTCCTTAATCTTCACAGCCCTTGAGACTAGCATAGGGATTTGTCTAGAGTTTGCATAATGGCATTATTACATACAGGGAGCTCATGTGGTGTCCCACCTCCCCCCACGCCCCACCGCTTTCACTGCTGGACCTAAGGTCAGATGCTGCACGGCCATATTTTGAGAGACCAGACTGTATCGTGCCTTGGGACCCAACGACCCTGCATCTACACAACCCTGGAGCCCCTCTGACATCCCCCTACAGCCATCTTTAAGGCTGCAGTGGCTGTACAGGGGTTGGACCCAGCAGTGTGGTAGGGTCCCCTGCACTCTAGCACGTAACACTGTTCCACATCCAAGGCAGTGTAGTGCACCTGGGGACTACACTGGGGACAAGGGGAGCCAAAGTGTGTACTCCCCAGAGCCTGAGAGCTGCTTGCCACCAACAGCAACCCTACTCCCCTCCCAGTATCAGAGCCACCACACACTTGCACACACCCTGAGGACAGGTTCTCCCTGGCACAGATGCCAGCAGTGGTGGACAGGGAAGCACCGGTGATTCCTAGGACTCCAGGCAGTGTGCTTGAGTGGTATCCACACTGCCTGGGGCCCTAGAGATCGCCCTTCCCTGTCCTCCACTGCTGGCATCTGTGCACTCTTCCTGGGGGCCTGAGGATTTGCCCACCCAGTCTGCTGCCACCACCAGCACCCTCCCATACCTGCCACCTGGGGTTCTGGAGACTGGTCAGCCCTGCCTGTTGTAGACAATGGTAATGCCTGTGCATGCTGCCTGGGAACTTGAGGATTGTCCTGCCACTGGTGCCATTGCCCATGCCACACATGCTTCCTAGGGGCCCAAGGACCCTGTTTGGCCCACCTCTGCCACTGCCAGCACCTGAGCAAGCCACCTGTAGGCCTAAGAATCAGCCTGCCTGATTTCACCAGTAAAGCCACACAGGCCGGGCGCGGTGGCTCACGCCTGTAATCCCAGCACTTTGGGAGGCCGAGGCGGGCGGATCACAAGGTCAGGAGATCGAGACCATGGTGAAACCCCGTCTCTACTAAAAATACAAAAAATTAGCCGGGCGTGGTTGTGGGCGCCTGTAGTCCCAGCTACTCGGGAGGCTGAGCCAGGAGAATGGCGGGAACCCAGGAGGCGGAGCTTGCAGTGAGCCGAGATCGCGCCACTGTACTCCAGCCTGGGCGACAGAGCGAGACTCTGTCTCAAAAAAAAGAAAAAAAAAAAAAAAAAAAAGACACATAAAGACCGAAAGTAACACGATGGGAAAAAGTACTCCATGCAGATAGAAAATGGAGTAAAATGGAGCGAGAGGAACTAAGATAAAACCTACTTTAAGTCAAGAGGCCTGGTATGATGGTACACACCTAAATTCCCAGCACTTTGGAGGCTTAGGTGAGAAGATTACTTGAAGCCAGGAATTAGACCAGCCTGGGCAACATAGTGAGACCCCTGTCTCTACAAAAAGAAAAGAAAAAGACAGTGAACATCATTATAAATGATAAAGAGATCAACTTAGCAGGAGGATATAACAATTCTCAATATATGTGTACCCAACACAGGAGGACCCAGATATATAAAGCAAATATGCTATCTAAAGAGAGAGGTAGGCCGGGCGCGGTGGCTCAAGCCTGTAATCCCAGCACTTTGGGAGGCCGAGGCAGGCGGATCAGTCAGGAGTCAAGACCATCCTGGCTAACCCGGTGAAACCCCGTCTCTACTAAAAATACAAAAAAAAATCCCAGCCGGGGCGGGGTGGCGGGCGCCTGTAGTCCCAGCTACTCGGGAGGCTGAGGCAGGAGAGAATGGCGTGAACCCGGGAGGCGGGCTTGCGGGTGAGCTGAGATCCGGCCACTGCACTCCCAGCCTGGGCGACAGAGCGAAACTCCGCCTCAAAAAAAAAAAAAAAAATAAATAAATAAAAAAAAGAGGTAGGCCGGGCGCGGTGGCTCAAGCCTGTAGTCCCAGCACTTTGGGAGGCCGAGACGGGCGGATCACGAGGTCAGGAGATTGAGACCATCTGGCTGCTGCGGTGGAAACCCCGTCTCTACTAAAAAATACAAAAAACTAGCCGGGCGTGGTGGCGCGCCTGTAGTCAGCTACTTGGGAGGCTGAGGCAGGAGAATTCGTAAACCCGGGAGGCGGAGCTTGCAGTGAGCTGAGATCCGGCCTGCACTCCAGCCTGGGCGACAGAGCCAGACTCCGTCTCAAAAAAAAAAAAAAAAAAGAGGTAGACTCTGACCAGCACTTTGGGAGGCCGAGACGGGCGGATCACGAGGTCAGGAGATTGAGACCATCCTGGCTAACACGGTGAAACCCCGTCTCTACTAAAAAATACAAAAAACTAGCCGGGCGTGGTGGCGGCGCCTGTAGTCCCAGCTACTTGGGAGGCTGAGGCAGGAGAATGGCGTAAACCCGGGAGGCGGAGCTTGCAGTGAGCTGAGATCCGGCCACTGCACTCCAGCCTGGGCGACAGAGCCAGACTCCGTCTCAAAAAAAAAAAAAAAAGAGAGAGAGGTAGACTCTGATACAGTAATAGGAACTTTAATGCTCCACTCTCAGCATTAGATAGATTATCTAGATAGGAAATTAATGAACACTGGATTTATTTTATTATTATTATTATTTTGAGACAGTCTCGCTCTGTCGCTCAGGCTGGAGTGCAGTGGCGTGATCTTGGCTCACTGGAAGCTCCGCCTCCTGGGTTCCCATCATTCTCCTACCTCAGTCTCCCGAGTAGCTGGGACTACAGGCACCTGCCACCACGCCTGTACCCCCAGCTACTCGGTAGGCTGAGGCAGGAGAATGGCTTGACTCAGAGAGACTGAAGAACACCTAAGTAAATGAGGACATTTACCATGTTCATGAACTGGAAGTCTCAATATGTTCAAAAAGAGTGAACCTCAGTCTCAAAAGAACAAAACAACAACAACAACAAACAAGCAAAAGGAAAAGGAAAAACACATGTTGGGAGAAAATATTTGCTGAATATATTTGACATCTTTTATCTCAAATATATAAATAACACAAGTCGATTATAAGTTGATAATCATCCCAAGTTAAAAATGGGCAAAAGATCTGAACAAACATTCTTTGAAAGAAGATATATAGTTATCAAATAAACACTTGAAAAGTTCAATATCACTAGTCATTCAGGAAATGCAAATTTAAACTATGATGAGATACCACTACACATTTATTAAAATTATTAAAATGAAAAAGACATACAAAGATATGGCAAGAATGTGGAGCAACTAGCACTCTCAGTGAGTTCTAATATAAGTATCGTAAGTTTTTTTGAAAACAGTTTTACAGTTCTTTTTTTTTTTTTTTTTTTTTTTTTTTTTGAGATGGAGTCTGGCTCTGTCGCCCAGGCTGGAGTGCAGTGGCCGGATCTCAGCTCACTGCAAGCTCCACCTCCCGGGTTTACGCCATTCTCCTGCCTCAGCCTCCCGAGTAGCTGGGACTACAGGCGTCCGCCACCTCGCCCGGCTAGTTTTTTTTGTATTTTTTAGTAGAGACGGGGTTTCACTGTGTTCGCCAGGATGGTCTCGATCTCCTGACCTCGTGATCCGCCCGTCTCGGCCTCCCAAAGTGCTGGGATTACAGGCTTGAGCCACTGCACCCGGCCAGAAAACAGTTTTACAGTTCTTAAAATGTTAAACATAACATAAAAGCTGGGTATGGTGGAGTGCACCGGTAGTCCCAGCTACAGTGGGCGGGAGGATCTGTTGACCCCAGGAGCTCAAGTCCAGCCTGGGCAACATAGCCAGACCCCATCTCAAAGCAAAAAAACAAAACAATTAAACATACACCTACCATATACCCCCAAAATTCCACTTCTAGGTATTTACCCAAAATAGTTCAAAGGATACATTCACACAAGGACTTGTACACAAATGTTTATAGTGGCTTCATTTGAGATAGTCAAAAGTTAGAAACAATTTGGCCAGGCGCTGTGGCTCATGGCTATAATCCCACCACTTTGGGAGGCCAAGGCAGGTGGATCATGAGGTCAGGAGTTTCAGGCCAGCATGGCCAACGTGGCAAAACCCTATCTTTACTAAAACTACAAAAAAATTAGCCAGGCATGGTGGTGTGTGCCTGTAGTTCCAGCTACTCAGGAGGCTGAGGCAGGGGAGTTGCTTGAACCCGGGAAGCGGAGCTTGCAGTGAACCAAGATGGAGCCATTGCACTCCAGCCTGGGTGACAGAGCAAGACTCTGTCTCAAAAAAAAAAAAAAAGATGGGGTCTTGCTCTGTTGCCGAGGCTGGTCTTAAACTCCTGAGCTCAAGTGATCCTCCTGCCTTTGCCTACCAAAGTGCTGGGATTACAGGCGTGAGCCACCACGCCTGACCAAACCTCTTTTCTTTATAAACTATCTAGACTTAGATATTTCTTTTCTTTCTTTCTTTTATTTTATTATTATTATTTTTTTGAGACAGAATTTTGTTCTTGTGGCCCAGGCTGGAGTGCAATGCCGTGACCTCAACTCACTGCAACCTCTGCCTCCCGGGTTCAAGCATTTCTCCTGCCTCAGCCTCCCGACTAACTAGGATTACAATCGCCGCCACCATGCCCGGCTAATTTTTTGTATTTTTAGTAGAGACGCGGTTTTACCATGTTGGCCAGGCTGGTCTCGAACTCCCAACCTCAGGTGATCCGCCTGCCTCAGCCTCCCAAAGTGCTGGGATTACAGGTGTGAGCCACTGTGCCCAGCCTGAGATATTTCTTTATAGTAACACAAAAACAGCCTAACGCAAAGGTCACATAGTAGGTAGGATTTAGTAAGAAAGAGAGCTGGGATTTCAAGGCAGGTGAACTGGGTCTAATGTCTCCACTGTTTACTCACCTCTCCCTACCTCTAGATTTCCACCCTCCCATGCTGAAATCTCTTGGTTATAAATTTTCACTTGTGCTCCTTTCTGGGATCACCTTCTTGAATCACAGTGGTGTCTATTTTCATACCCATTGAGGGAATAGTGATTCCTTGAGGGTTACAAGGTCTGCAGATCGATGAGTTCTTGGCATTTTGGAGAGGCCAGAGACTGGTAGCTCTGAGTCATTGGTTGTCAGGCCGTGCCTCCCCCATCTCACAATCGAAGCTTGGCTGATTTCACTGAATGCCAAAAGCAGGCTGGGGCTGGGGGTAGAGGATCTGGATTTCACAAGAGGCAAGTCTGGAAATGTCAAAATTGGGGTCCAAGGTGAGAGGATGGCGTGGTAGGACAACATTGTCTGCCATCCGGGTATAATGGCTGAAGCTCTGGTTAGTGGGTGTGGCCTAAGGGGAATGTAGTGATTCCCACTCTAGGTGTAAAGGGCTTCATATTGGTGGAGAGCTTTCTGTGTTGACCGAAATTCTGGTGACACTACGAGACAGATTTCATGGATTTATAGAAGAGACAACTGAAACTTGGGAGTCTGTGCCCCAGATCACATAATTTGTTAGCAGTAGGAGTCCAAGTTGAGCCAAGCCAGAGAAGGTTACTGAGTGTTTTGGCACCCTTGGCCTTAATCTGCTACTCTTCAGATTTCACAGCCCTCATGTTCCGGATAGTTCACTCAAAGCTTGGGAGTTGGAGATGAGGCAATCAACAGATGCTGACACCAGCATGGAGGAGAGATTGCGGCTGATCTGGAGGTATGATTGGGAGAGGTTGAGAAGCCTTTCAAGGGTGTCCCTGATGTGGGAGGGCACAAGCAAAGGCCCAGGGGCACGGAATTGCCCAGTAGATTCCAGAAGAGAACTACCATTGCATACAGCGGAGTGTACAATAACAGGGTAGTCACTACACTGCATCAAGGGGCTGAAGGCAACTACCTTTTGGGTTGAGCATAGTCTGAAAGCAGTGGAACCACTGCATCCCACAAAAGCTGGTAACCTGGACAGCTCAAAGGTCAGAGCCATCAGGACTTTGCCTGGAATACTCTGGCGTTATTGGCAAACATCTGTCTCTTCCCCTAACAGGTTGGGTGCTGTATACTGAGACCCAGTCGGAGATCAGAAGGCAGGTTCAATAGAAACACATAGGACTCTACTCATGTTTTAGGAACCTTTTTTTCCCTTTTTTATTTTTATTTTTTATTATTTTTTTTGAGACAGAGTTTCACTCTTGTTGCCCAGGCTAGAGTGCAATGACGCGATCTCAGCTCACCACAACCTCCACCTCCCAGGCTCAAGCAATTCTCCTGCCTCCTGAGTAGCTGGGATTACAGGCATGTGCCACTATGCCTGGCTTTTTTTTTTTTTTTTTTTTTTTTTTTTTAAAGTAGAGACAGGGTTTCTCCATAGTAGGCTGGTCTCAAACTCCCAACCTCAGGTGATCCACCCGTGTCGGCCTCCCAAAGTGCTGGGATTACAGGCGTGAGTTACCGTGCCCGGACTTTTTTTCCCTGTTTTAGAAACAAGGTCTCATTCTGTTGCCCAGGCTGGAGTGCAGTGGTGCAAACATAGCTCACTGCAGTCTTGAACTCCTGGGATCCAGTGATCCTCCTGCCTCAGTCTCCCAAGTAGCTGGGAACAGGCATGCCACCATCATGCCCAGCACCATCTTATCAGATCTAATCCTGGCCACTCACACAGAGGACTGAGCTCTGATGATGTGTCTACCCTAACTTTATTAGCTTAGAAGCCTGAGCCCCATGTGGCTCAACTGACCTTTAATTTTGATCCCACATGCGTCTTCCATATTGGAGACATTACACTCAGGAAGGTAGGACCAAGCAGGGTAGGGATCCCCTAGATACCTCACTGTGCTAGGGAGTATTTGAGAAGCCCTGCTGTAAACTCTGCTAACTGCAAAACTGTTGTGGCTTCTGCTCACAATGTGGTTATCATTGTCCATCCCCTCAGGGGCTTCTGGGAGAGATGGCAGCTGCAGTGGCCTCTGATCCATCATACAGTATGGATGGACACCACAGGCCAAAGATTCTCATGTCAGGATTTCTGGTCCTTTCTCCCCTAGGCCTCAGGAGGACCCAGGGAAATATCTAAAGCCAACCTATAGTTTTGGTGAACTGAGTTTGCATTGAAATGTTTTTGGAAATGATTTTCAACATTTATAAAATCACATGCCACATAAAAATCTGAATATTTGGCTCTTCTTGGAAAAGCAGGAGATATGGGAAATCTGTACTGACTCCACCATATTGTTTCCCCACCCCTTAAGAGGGACAGACCTGCTTGGTGGCCACCAGAAGTGGAATGATGAAGGCCACGGCCATGTGAGTCTCAAGAAACCCTGGCTACTCACATAAGCCCCTCCAGACCATGGTTTCCGTCTTCTCTGTCTGGAGGTTCCTACCTGTGCAGGGATGGCCATGAGATGAACAGCCCAGGGAGTCCACAGGAAATCCACAAAACATTTATTTGAATTTCAGCTATGAGTGACACATAGGTCTGCATGTCCTGAGAAGTCCTATACACCCTTATCTCACTTGGCCATAGTCATTGGAAGTTTCTGATATGCCCTTAGAACAGACATGTCTCCTCTTGTCTACCACAGTCTTCTCTACACTGTTTTTGTACCAATGATAGTTTCCACATAGCCCTGGCAGGTCTGAACCAGTTATACCTGCCTACTGAGCTCTATATTTCATGAGTCATGAGCCATGGGCAGGTACTGGGAGACACAGCTAGTAAAGTAGGACATGCACTGGGAACAGAGGACCAAATTTTTGCTGTGGAGGTTCTCAAAGAAACTACCCCATTCCTCAGAGCCAGCTCTGGGTCCACAGGTGACCCTTGCTGTCTAAACCACAAGATTCAGTCTGAGCCTGTCAGTTTTTCACAGGAGGCCGTAGGGCAACAAGGCAAATTCAACCAAAACTGGACTGAGTGTTCTTCCTGCCCATGCGGCTGTTTGAGACACTCAGTGCCCCCTACAAAAGCTGTTCTTTTTATTAGGATGAATTGTTTCAACTCACCTCGCCACCTCTGATGCAAGTGGCTAAACATTAAGGCCTTTATTATCTCAGTGAGAGACAGGCAGATCCAGGACAGGGTGATTGAGATTAAACAAATCATTCCCAAGTGTCACATGTAGATGCAAACAATGTGTCCATGAAGAGAAACCTTTTCTTTCTCCTTTTTTTTTTTTTTTTTTTTTGAGACGGAGTCTCGCTCTGTCACCCAGGCTGGAGTGCAGTGGTGCAATCTTGGCTCACTGCAAACCCTGCCTCCCGGGTTCGCACCATTCTCCTGCTCAGCCTTCCAAGTAGCTGGGACTACAGGCGCCCACCACCACGCCCAGCTAATTTTTTGTATTTTTAGTAGAGACGGGGTTTCACCATGTTAGCCAGGATGGTCTCAATCTCCTGAGCTCATGATCTGCCTGCCCTGGCCTCCCAAAGTGCTGGGATTACAGGCGTGAGCCACCATGGCCAGGCAAGAAGCCTTTTCTGGAAAGCTCCAGGAGACACCAGCTCAGATCTTAGCGAGAACTGTGTCACACCAAAATCTAAAGCCATCGGTGGGAAAGAAAATGAGGGCACTCAAAGGGCTCAGACTATCTGAAATTCTCTCTAGAGAATGGAAAGGCAGGCTGCCTTCCCTTAGCACAGTGGAGGAGACTGACACATCATGAGATCCTGCCAGGTGGCAGAGATGAGACAGTGTGGCAGGCAGTGTGGCATTCATGCTCTTGTGTAATCCTCTCCCCTTGACTGTGGGCTGGACCAAGTGACTTGCTTCTAACCAATAAAACATAGCAAAGATGGTGGGATCTCACGTCCATTATTAGATTACAAATGATTGACTTGTTGGTGTTCTCCATTGCATTAGCAGCTTGCAAGCTTTGATCCACAAGCTGCCATTTTGGAGAGGCCCATGTGGTAGAGAACTGGAGGAGGTCTCAGACCAACAGACAGGCCCTCAGTCCAGCAGCCCACAAAAACCTGAATGCTGCCAATTACGTGAGTTTGCTTGGAAGCAGAGCCTTCCCCAGGCAAGCCTTCAGATGACCACACCCCCCAGGTGACATCTTGATGTTAGCCTTGTGAGAAACCCTGAAGAGGAGTCAGCTAGCTGCACCAAAGTTTCTGACCTACAGAGACTGTGAGATCATAACTATTGTTTTAAGCCACTAGGTTTTGAGTAATTTGTTACACAGCAATAGGTAACTAATACAGATGGTTTCTGCAATAGCAGTAATACAGTGCTGCCTAAGATTCTGGGAGCTGCGGCTTTCCCACATTTGTTGCCCATAACTCTGTCGTGAATTCTCTGGTGATTTTTCTTTAAAGGGGGTGTCTACAGCTGAAGGCTTTCCCATTTTCATTGCACTTGTAATGCCTTTTCCCCACAGGTACTTTATATTGCTTTCTCACACAGGAGAGGTGACCAAAGACCATCCCACATTCCTTACATGCGGGGGTTTTCTCTATTGTGAATTTTTTGGTTATAGATAAGGATTGATTTCTTCTTGAGGGTCCTTTTTCATACCAAGTGTTTAAAGATTTCTCTTCAGTGTGGGTTCTTAGGTCGTTGAAGAGGGCAAAAGTCTTCATGTCTTCCCATAGCCACTGCTCTTGAAGGGCTTCTCCCTATCATGGCCTGCCTGGTGTTATCTGATGTTGGAGCTGTGTGGCAGGATCTTCCCACTCAACTTTTCATGGCTTCCCTGTGCCATGAGTGCTCTGGTGATGGAGAAAGGAAGGCATTTCCATATTCTCTTTTGAGCTTCTCACTATTCGGGTACTCCAGTGCCAGAAGTGGGTAGTTACCCTGGAAAGCCTTCACAAATGCCTGGTCCTTGAGTCCTCTCACTTATGAATCCTGCTGTGCATGAACTGAGAAGTGCTCTTTACAAATGAGACTGTGAGCCATGTCACATCTGAAAAGGTGGTCTCCACCATAAATGGTCTGTTGTTGGTGAAAAGTTTGATCCACTACTCTGTGTGGTTTCTATCTGGAGTATACTGCCTAATGTTCAGCCAGGAGTACAATCTTTGGCAGGGCAAGGGTGCCATGGTCAGGGTGAGGAACGACCAGTCATGGAGTACTGGTCCTGTCACATACCCCACTGCTGAGCCTGTTAGGTGACATTCACATGGGCAGGGAGAACAGAGGGATCTAGGACAGCTGGCAGTGGCTACTGAAACTGCTGTTCAGTGATGTGAGCCCAGGCCACTCTTTTCTTTTTTAGAGATGCGGCCTTGCTGTGTTGTCCAGGATGGACTCAACCTCCTGGGCTCAAGAGATCCTCCTGCCTCAGCCTCTCAAGCAGCTAGGACTATAGGTGTGCACCACTGCACCTGGCCAGGCCTCTCCTTTATGGGGACTCCTGTTCACATCCCAGCCAGTGCTCTCATGAGTACTTCCTTGTATGGGGGAGGTCAAAGAAACAGCAACAACTCACATGTGATGATGATGAAATTACATGGTAAATAAGCTTTTTAAAATAGGTGCTAAACACCATATTCTGCAAGGTTCCAAATCTCAATCTCCTTCTAAAATACCAGCTCTGTCAACTGTGTTAAACGTCCCCATTTGCCTATGCCCACTCTGTTGGCCAGCAAGACTGTGAAGGCATGAAGTGTGTGTCAGTGACCAGAAACCCTGGCCAGACTACAAAAAACACTTTCCTGGACGTCAGGCTATTGCTTCTCTCAGTCCCCAGTTCCTACCTGGGGAGTGATGGGTGCCAAGATACAGTTCGAGAGAAGTGAATGTAAACAACATTGCATTTATCTGCTTTAACTATAGCAAAAACTTTAACATGGCAAATACAAAGGTCTGCAGCTCTGCAGTTGTTCTGCACACCCTCACCCTGCAGAGTCCCAGTTGATGGGGAACTATGGCTACTTCTTTGTCCATGATGGCATGTGCCCTAGTTCACCACAGTCTCCCCAAATTGCTAGTTATTACCTCACATCCAGTGTTTCTCTATGCACAGAGTCCTCCCTGGACCCCTCTAGGTCTTTGCCTTGGTGACCCTGTGACACACTAGTGTTGTAGACGGATTTATTTTTCCTCAGGGTAAGCTCTGGGCCCTGTGGTAACTGAAACACAGGCCACTACGTTCAATCCAGAGCCTTTCAGTCTTTCACATAGCAATGCAAAGTAGGCTACAACAGGACAGAGCAACTACCTGCTCTTCTACTGTGCCCTCAGGCAGATTTTGTGCCCCGAAAAGGCACTCCCCACTCTATCCATTCATTTTCTCAACCTACCCCAACAGAACCCCTAAGATTAAAGGTGACCTGATCAATAAGGTCTTTATTATCACGCATATGGTGCAGACAAGGTAGGTGATTCCAGTGGCAGGTGATTTGTGGTCTCAATGGACACATCTTAGGGGTTAAACACAGACTTGACTACATCCACGAGGAATGTGCATCTTCCTGAGCTCAAATTAGATTTCTCTCAAGGCCCCTCGGCCAGCATGCATTCAGTTCACTGCCTAACCCTCTCAGACGCAATGGGAATTAAACCATTCCAGTGAGCTGAGGACAATCCTGAATCTCTACAGGACAGGTGAAGGGAGGCTCAGGGTACTGTTTTCCCCAAGCCAGAGGACAGGACTGCTGCAAATTTTTGGATCCAGGCTAGATGGAAAGTGGCTATGGCTTCTGCCTTATGCTGCATGGGTGAGACGACCCTGCAAAGGTTCCTGGGCTGGTCAGAAACAGGGTAGCTTCTGAAGGCTTTTCCACATTAGCAGTACATGTAGGTAATTTTTCTGGTAGAGGGATACTGCTGCATAAAGTTTGACTTGGCTGAAGATTTTCTCACGAAGACCACTTCCATAAGGCTCTACTCAAATATGAATCTTTTTATGCTGAGCAAGGTTACAAAGATGGCTGAAGAGTTTCCCACACTGGCTACACTCATAAGTCCTTTCTCTGGCGTGAACTTTCTGATGCCGAACAAGTGTAGATCTTTCACTAAAGGCTTTTCCACACTGGATGCATTCATAGGGCCTTTCTTGTGTGTGAACTCTCTGATGACGAACCAGGTGGGAGTTACTGCTAAAGGCTCTCCCACATTCACTGCATTCATAAGGCCTTTCTCCAGTGTGAACTCTCCAATGACAAATAAGGCTAGATTTTCGGCTAAAGAATTTCCCACATTCACTGCACTTATAAGGCTTTTCTCCAGTATGAACTTTCTGATGCTTAATGAGAATGGAGTTTTGGCTAAAGAATTTCCCACATTCATTGCACTCATAAGGCCTTTCTTTTGTGTGAACTCTCCAGTGTTCAATGAGAGTGGAGCTGTGAGCGAAGGCTTTCCCACACTCACTACACTCATAAGGCTTTTCTCCAGTGTGAATTCTCCAGTGCTGGATCAGGCTGGAGCTGCGGCTGAAGGATTTCCTACATTCACTGCACTCATAAGGCCTTTGCCCAGTATGTACTTTCTGGTGCTGGATGAGTGTGGAGCTATTACCGAAGGCTTTACCACAATCACTGCATTCAAAAGGCCGTTCTCCAGTGTGAACTTTCTGATGTCGAAGGAGATGGGAGCTTTGGCTGAAGTCTCTTCCACATTCACTGCACTCAAAAGGCCGTTCTCCAGTGTGAACTTTCTGGTGCTGAGCAAGGTTGGAGTTATTGTTAAAAGCTCTTCCACACTCACTGCATTCATACGGTCTTTCTCCAGTGTGAACTCTCCAGTGCTGAATGAGAGCAGAGCTTCGGCTGAAAGATTTACCACATTGACTGCACTCATAAGGTCTTACCTGTGTGTGAACTTTCTGGTGCCGAAGGAAATTGGAGCTTTGGCTGAAGGCTCTTCCACATTTCAGGCACTCAAAAGGCCTTTCTCCAGTGTGAACTTTCTCATGCCGAATGAGGTGTGATCTGTTACTGAAGGCTTTCCCACATTCACTGCACTCATAAGGTCTTTCTCCTGAGTGACTTCTCTGATGATGAACAAATGTGAGTTTGTGATTGAAGGTTTTCCCACACGCAATGCACTCATAATATCTTACTTCAGTGTGAAATTTCTGGTGCTTCCTCAGCTTAGATGGGTGACTAAAGGCCTTCCCACACTCCTTACACACATTGGGTATTTCTGCAGTGTGAAATTTTTGATTACCAAGGGTTGATTTCTCCTCTAAGAAATTTTCACCTGTTGGGCATGCAAATGGTGTCTCTTCAGAGTGAGTTCTCAGATGGCTGAGGAGAGTGGAGCTCTTCAGGAAGGCTTTTCCACAGTTACTGCACTTGAAGAGTTTCTGTGTGGTACAGACTTCTGGAAGCTGCCCAAGATTGGAATACGGCTTCTGCCCGCTGTCAACAGCTTGAAGCTGGAGGAGGTCCTGGCTGTCCAGGATGACCTTCCCACCTTCCCTGCAAGTGAAGGGGTTCTCTGACAGATGGACTTTAGAGCTCTTTATAAGTGTGTCCCTGTCCTTGTACCATCTGAAGGGCTTCCCTCCACTATGCTCCTTCTGGTGCTGGTGAAGATTTGCATTCAACCAAAAGTCTCTCCCACATGCTCCACATGGGTTCTCCTCACAGTGTGTTCCCTGATGCTCAGCCAGGTACAAAATGTCTTTCAAGAATGGCCCACACATGTCACAGGAGTTAGCTTTCTTGGTGGAAGAATCTGCATTGGGGATCCTGACCAGTAACACCTCTTCTACAGAAATATTCTGCTTGGGATGGGCCTCCTCACCCTCTACTCCATGCCAACAACCTGAAAATAGAGAAATGCCAGTTAACTAACTATTCCACTTGGTGGGAATGGATGACTTCATTAGAAATGTTACCCAGGAATTCACACTCAAGAAGAGGTCCCAGGGATTGCTGATAGGCCAACGGGGCCATCAGGGTGAGGAAGGGCCCACTACTATTGGCAGGATAGGGACCAGCCAAGCAACAGAATAAGGGAGACCTCACCAGGGGCAAGGACACAGAAATGGGTCAAAGGACTTAGACATTTCTGTAAAAGAAGATATATACACACATGGCCAATAAGCATATGAAAAGAAGTTCCGCATCCTTAATCATGAGGAGTATGCAAACCAAAACCACAATGAGATATCACTTCACACTCACTAACGTAGCTAAAATAATAATAAAAAAATAAACAATACATGAAGATGAAGTAGAAAAACTGGAGCACTTATACATTCCAGATAGGGATATGAAATGGTGCAGCCAATTTGGAAAATAGTTTGATAAGTCTGCTCCTACAGAGCTACATAAGAGAACTAAAACAAAATCCACACAAAAATGTGTACAAGACTGTTCATAGCAGTATTTTTTAAAAAACTGAGATAGGGTCTTGCTACGTTGCCCAGGTTGCTCTCAAACCTCTGGGCTCAAGTGATCCTCCTGCCTCAGCCTCCTGAGTAGCCGGATTATAGGCACCTCGCCCAGCTTCTATAGTAGCATTTTTTTCTAACACCTAAAAAATGGAAACAAGCTGAATGCTCAACTGATAAATGGATAAACAAACTGTAGTCCATTTACACACTGGAATATTTGGCTATAAAAAAGAACGAAATACTGATACATGCTACAACACTGATGAACTTCAAAAACATGCTAAAAGAAAGCCAGTCACAGAAAAACATAGTATTATATAAAATGTCTAGGAAACGTAAATCTATATAGTCAGAAAGTAGATTAGTGGTTGCCTAGGACCAGGAGGAAAGGGATAAGGAAAGATGGGGAGTGACAGCTAATGGGACTGCTAATGAGACCTATAGTTTCTCTTTAGGTGATGAAAACATGCTAAAACTACATTACAGCAATGATTATACCATGTGAAAACATACAGAAATCACTAAACTGTGTACTTTAAAAGGTGAATTGTATGATTTATCTTAATAAAGCTGTTTTTAAAAAATATCTCATTGAGGGCCGGGCGCGGTGGCTCACACCTGTAATCCCAGCACTTTGTGAGGCCGAGGTGGGCGGATCAAGAGGTCAGGAGATCGAGACCATCCTGGCTGATACGGTGAAACCCCGTCTCTACTAAAAATGCAAAAAAATTAGCCAGGCGTGGTGGTGGGCGCCTGTAATCCCAGCTACTTGGGAGGCTGAGGCAGGAGAATGGCGTGAACCCGGGAGGTGGAGCTTGCAGTGAGCTGAGATCACGCCACTGCACTGCAGCCTGGGCAACAGAGCTAGAGTTCATCTAAAAAAAAAAAAAACTCATTGGAGACAGAGACAGAATCTGGGCATGGCTTCATACTGGGTAACCCAACCAGGGATTGGTGAAGCTCAGTGGGATCTGTTAAGCAGACTGGAGATGTCTGATCCCCAACCTTTGCCTCCACAAGGCTTCTGGGCAACAGCTATTAGGAAAGCTCATGAGGCTGTTCAGAGAGCGATAGGGGAAGTACACACAGCAGAGTCTCAGCACCACAGCACCTACAACAGGAAACCTGAGAAGGAAGCAGTACCCGTGATCTGGCTTTGGGATGAACAGAGCTTTCTATGAGGAAAAGACACAGGGCATAAGCTGGTCATCACCATGCTGGGACAGGGTATTACCAAGTGAGGTCACGAGCTCAAGGTTTTCCAGCATCACACTGTGGTACAAGTGCCTCTGGGCTGCATCAAGGAGCTCCCACTCCTCCTGGGAGAAATATACAGCCACATCTTCAAAGGTTACCAGGCTCTTCAGTGCAGGGACAGCTGAGCCACAGGGCCAAGAGGTATGCTGACAAAGAAACAAACAATTGGTCAAATGGAAACATGCAGGCCCTTGCCGTGTGACTCGGAATCCTGCCACATCTGCCACTAACATCTCTTTTTCTTATGATCCTCTCAGTTCATCCACTACTCACCCATCCGCAGCTTATCTTCTTCCTCAGGGCCCCCACCTAACATGCCCTGGAATTAATGGTGCCCCTCTCTCCAAGTAGTTCCACTGGTCACTGTATCCAGGCCAATCCAACCTAGAGGAACAACAGGCAGGTGGGCAGATGGATGCTGCCTCCTCCCTCCTGCTGGTCAATTTTCCTTGTGACTTCTGGCTCATACCTCCCAAACATAAGAAAATTTGGGCTTCCCTTTCTCTTTTTTTTTTTTTTTTTTTAGGCGGAGTCTCGCTCTGTCGCCCAGGCTGGAGTGCAGTGGCCGGATCTCAGCTCACTGCAAGCTCCGCCTCCCAGGTTCACGCCATTCTCCTGCCTCAGCCTCCCGAGTAGCTGGGACTACAGGCGCCCGCCACCTCGCCCGGCTAGTATTTTTTGTATTTTTAGTAGAGACGGCGTTTCACCATGTTAGCCAGGATGGTCTCGATCTCCTGACCTCGTGATCCGCCCGTCTCGGCCTCCCAAAGTGCTGGGATTACAGGCTTGAGCCACCGCGCCCGGCCTCCCTTTCTCTTAAGACTCTTGTACCAGGGCCATGGACCCAATAGTTCACATTCCCTCACCTTTACATGTGACTCCTCAGACCATACAGTTCTTATATTTCCACCCCCTCCCTGTTCACACTGTAGGTATTCTCCCTAGCATCTCACCATGCATATAGCATACCTGACAGATGCAACCAGGATCCAATCCTGGTCCAAGCCTACAACAGAGCTCCAAAAACCCCACTGCCAGAGGCAGCCATAGCCCCTCAAGTCAATGCCTCCCGTCCTTTCCCTATTTCTTCAACCATCAGCTGCCCAGAACCATAAGCAGATCTCAAATATATCTTCCCTCTTATATCTCTGCCTTTGTATGTGTTGTCTCCTCCCCAGTCATAGCTGTCCTTGCTCTTCCTAACACTCAAATCCAAGACCCACTGGCCCCCACCTTGGCTTGGGGACTCAGCTTAGGCTGATCCTTTCTGATCCTGCCACTACACCAGCCTGACAAAAACCCCAGGACCCTACTTAAGAGGAGGTAACATGCCCTGACCACAAGGATGGCCACGACAATGTAGTGAGCTGTAGAGAGAGAAATCAACCTAAACCAAAGCCCAACTCTCATCCTACTTCTGCCGCTATGCTTCATTTTTGTCCTAGACCTACTCTCTGGTTAGGAGGCTCGGCCACTATCTTGAACCCAACCCACAACTGCATGCAGTGTCCACCCACAAGCATCCATCCCTTGGATGTTTCCAGCCTAAACCCGACATAATTTCATAATCGCATGTTTAGGGGTCTACTTGGCAACTCAATTTGGTAGTGTCTGGGACATCTCAAATACAACAAAATCCAACTCTTTATCTTCCCCCTGAAATCTACTCCTCACACCAACTTCCACATCTGAAAGATCTAAGGTCAATTTTTTTTTTTTTTTTTTTTGAGATGAAGTCTCGCTCTGTCACCCAGGCTGGAGTGCAGTGGCGCGATCTCGGTTCACTGCAAGCTCCGCCTCCCGGGTTCATGCATTCTCCTGCCTCAGCCTCCCAAGTAGCTGGGACTACAGGCACCTGCCACCATGCCTGGCAAATTTTTTGTATTTTTAGTGGAGAAAGGGTTTCACAGTGTTAGCCAGGATGGTCTTGATCTCCTGACCTTGTGATCCGCCCGCCTCGGCCTCCCAAAGTGCTGGGATTACAGACGCGAGCCACTGGGCCTGGAAATCTTTTTTTTTTTTTTTTTTTTTTAAAACAGAGTCTCGCTGTCGTTCAGGCTGGAGCGCAGTGGCATGATCTCAGCTCACTGCAACTTCCATCTCCCAGATTCAAACGATTCTTCTGCCTCAGTCTCCCAAGTTGCTGGGATTACAGGCGCGCACTACCATGCCTTGGCTAATTTTTTTGTATTTTTAGTAGAGACGGGGTTTCACCATGTTGGCCAGGCTGGTCTTGAACTCCTGACCTCAAGTGATCCGGCCACCTCGGCCTCCCAAAGTGCTGGGATTACAGGTGTGAGCCACTGCGCTCAGCCTAAAGTCAATCTTAACATTTCACTCTCTCTCATTGTCCCACATCCGGTAATCTATGGCCCAATTTGGGCAGATTCAGAAGCCAACCATCTGTCCTACCTCCATGGGCACCCCTCTGTCCAGCTACCCAAAGCACACATCTGGACCACGTCTGTCAGCTCCTCACTGGCCTTCCTGCTCCACCCTCACCATCCCTCCAGTCTGCTGCCCACTAGGCATCTATAGGGAGTCTGTTAAGACTGCAGTCAGAGCACCTCCTTCCTTTGCTCTAAACCTTCCATGGCTCTCACCACCATCAGAATACAGGCCCAGCTGCTTAGGCTGCCATTCCAGGCCTAACTCTGGTTTCCCTGCTCTGTTTCCACCAGACTAAACGGAGACCTGCAGTCCCTGGAATGCTTCCATTTCATCACAACCAAGCAAGGTGCACATGCTGGTCCCTGTGCCTGGGACAGTCTTCCAGATCTTATTCCACAGGATTCCAGAAATGGGAATCCCTCGATATAACGCCTGGCCTGGATTCAGGATGGTAAGGGTAAGTGACACCCAGGGCAGGGCCCAAGACCCACGTGTGAGGACAGGACACGGCCAAGAGCCCCTGGACACCAACATCCCCTCTATCTGGGCTTCAGGATCCTAAGGGCCGGAATCCCAGCGGGTGAGGGCCTGGGGCACACTCCACTCACCTGCGCCGGGCCCATCAGCGACGCTGGCAACCCCATTGGAACCTGTGGGCTGGGCAGGGCCATACTAGGAGGCGCTAGGGCTAGCCCTGCCGCTCAGCCGAACCCTCACACTTCCACTGAGTGGCGCGAACGCTGGGTGACGGTCGCACTCAGGACCTGTCTTCCCTAATACAAAATGCGCGCAAGGCCTCCGGGCACCGCAGGGACGAAGGCTGGGTATGGAGACCCCTGAGACGCGTGGTGCTGGCTCCACTTTCGGGAACACCTTGGCTCATAAAAGCATAGTAATTAGCCGGGGGTTATGGTGCGTGCGAAGGCGCGTTGTCGGTCCCTGCACCCACTCCCGCGCCCTTGTTTGGCTCCAGAGGCCTCCTGTAGCCCAACCCACCAGCCGCAAAATGAGGACCGCAATGGCGGCGCCGGAAGTCCCGCCCCTCAATGCCGGCTCTGACTTGCTCCTGGTCCGAGCCTTCATTGGCTCCCCGCCGACTATGACGCTATTTTCCTATGCTCGTCACGCTGCCGCTAGGCCGTTGCCAAGGTGATTGAGGAAAGGCGTTTATCGCGTCGCCGCTCCCGCAACGCAAACTACATTATCCAGAAGGACCCTCGCCGTGCCTCTGGGCTGGCCATTGGCAGCCCAGGAAAAGGGCACTTCCGGGCGGGGTGGAAGACGCGGGCCAATCAGTCTGCAAGCGGGACTTCTGCCGTAGTCCTCGGGACATCGCTTTGGCATTTCTTGATTTTGTCTGCATCTGAAGGGACCAGTTGTCAGGCGAGGGACGGAATCTTGGAGGCTCCCTGGGCCTATGAAAACAGGAGTGAGGAAGGCACGAGAGCCGGGGAAGTTTCGCCTCCGTGACATATAAGCGCCCCGACCGCGGCGAATATCACCCCCCGAGCCCCAGTGTTCCCCCCGGCCGTAGATAAAGCCGGCCCAGTAGGACCCTCAGGTCGCACCGCGCGGAGGTGTCCGCGGCTCCCGGGAGTGGTCGCCTTTGGCGTTTACGGAGCGCGAGGCCGGGGCCAAGAAAAGCCACGCGTTGGGAGGTCTTGACCCAGCGTGCGCCCGGCTGCAGGCTTGGAGCGTGTGCCAAGGGTCTCCTGGCACCCACTCGGCTGGACTCAGCACCATTGCCCTAAGTCTCCAATTGAGAAGTACCTTCCCCAGGTCCTCTGCAGCCCCACCGAACGGTGTGGAGCGTTCACAGGTGGGGGGGGTCACCGTTTCAGAATGGAGTTTGTTGAGACGTGGAGGGTACAGGAGGAGGGATCTGCATATGCGAAGACTTGGACCTGAGACTGACCTGAGCGTTCAGGAAGGATCTCGTGCCCCCTCGGCAGTGAGTGGAGAGCGTAAGAGGAGTCCTGCCTCTCCTGGCACACTGAGGGCGCTGGGAGCCATGAAAGGTGTTGGACAGAAAAGGGATGGACATGACCTGACTTAGAATTTGGAAAGTATTCCAGTGGCTGCTGAATGAACACACTACTGGAGAAGGTGGTTGTAGCGGGGCTGGAAGCAGGGAGACTGGGGGGAGGTTATTGTAGTATTGTTCCAGACAGTTATGATAGTGGCCTGTCCAGAACGGAAGCAAGAGAGATGGGAGAAGTGATCAGATTCCCAATAGATCTTCAAGATAGAGCTAATGGAATTTTTTGCTACCTTAGATAAGTGGAATAAGCATGAGTAGGGGTGAAGGACCATCCCAAGTAGTTAGGAAGAATTAGGATGCCTCCTGTGGAAAATAGAGGTTGGCAGTTGGCAGAAGGAGGACGTTTCCTGGAAGATTAGTGATGGATTTTGTAGTTATAGGGTCTGAATTGTCTGGAGGCCTTTGAGTGGAGGAGTCAAATGGGCCTCTGGATGTATAGCATTCTGGTGTGGTTTCTGGACCTCCAGACTGCATTATGTTGGTGGCCTGGACCAGGGAAGGGCCTGAGGATAGGATTTGGGAAGGGAGGTTTTAGGTTGGAGTTACAGATGGGCCCTCGCGGTGAAGTGTTGAGACTAAGGACCAGTGGCTAGGGCTCATGCCCAGTGCTTAGATCACGTCTGTCTGCCCATTGACTTGGTGTTGCAGGGCTTAGTGACCTTTAAGGACAGGGTCAGTACATCTTCCAAAAATGTGGGGCTCCTTAGTGAGGTCCAGGGGGGCTTCTATAGTGACATGATGCTACAGAGCTTTGTATTCCTGTGCTCACTAGATAAGGCTACTGTGTCTCCTCTTTCCCCTACACATGAAATCTAGGTTTTCCTCCGCCTTTCCCTTGTTCCCTGTGGGAGGTGCTGCTGGCCCTGGCACTGGCCAGTGTTCTGCTACTTATCCCTGGCTGCTTCATAAACCCCCACACCTTCTGCCCTGGGACCTTGACAACCTTGTGAAGCTGCAGTGACGGCCCCTGCACCCGCTCCCTCGCCCTTGTCCGGCTCCCAAGGTCTCCTGTAGCCCAACCCACCAGCCGGAAAATGAGGACCACTATGGCGGTGCCGGAAGTCCCGCCCCTCAACGTCCGCCTGGAATTATAAGTCTCAAAACCTGCGTAGCATATCACAGGCAGCTGGGTCGTTTCCTGGCTAGGTTACGCTGTCAGGATCTGTCACTTTTCTGTCCCTTCTACCACATCCCCTCACTCTAGTAGAAGTTTTCTGCCAGCTGTCCCTTGCGAGTCCCAGTGGGCACTGACATGGTCACTGATGGTGGGGTCACTGAGCATTGACTTTGTGAGGTTCAGTTCTTCCCAGCTATGTACCTGCACAGGTGATCTTCGCCTATGGTGGTTTGTCACGGGGTGGATCACCTTGACGTGGGGCTGCCTTCTCACAAACCACTTGATCAGAGCTCTATAGGATCACTGCCGCCACCCCTGCCATGTGATCCCCTAACTAGAACTAATGAAGAGACCTGGCTGGTGGACAGGGTGGCTTGAATTAGGCCATGGACAGAGAGGCCCCATGGTGCACCAGTTCTGTTGAATGGAAGACAGCTGTGGGAGGGCTGTTGGCAGTGCCCTGGTGGCTCACCTGGTACTTGATTTGTGCCTTCTGTTGTCCTGGCACCAGGATGTATAGCCATGCCCTTTTTTTTTTTTTTTTTTTTTTTTTTTGAGACAAGAGTTTCACTCTTGTTGCCCAGGCTGGAGTGCAATGGCATGATCTCGGCTCACTGCAACCTCCACCTCCCCGGTTCAAGCAATTCCCCTGCCTCAGCCTCCCCAGTAGCTGGGATTACAGGCATGTGCCACCACGCCTGGCTAATTTTGTATTTTTAGTAGAGACGGAGTTTCTCCATGTTGTTCAGGCTGGTCTCGAACTCCTGACCTCAGGTGATCTGCCCACCTCAGCCTCCCAAAGTGCTGGGATTAGGCGTGAGCCACCGCGCCTGGCCAGCCGTGCCTTTTTAAAAAATTTTCCTGATGTTCTTCTGACACTCTATCCTACTTTCCCCGACTCCTGTTCCCTGGATGGCCTCCTCTCTGTCTTCCAAGACTCATTCTTTCCCCTTCTCCCCTCCTCCCCTCCAATGGCCAGATCTCCTACCATTGGCCTCCCTGTAATGTGTCTTGAACTGATAATGTATCTTTAAATAGTTGTTATCTGCGCATGGTGGCTCATACCTATAGTCCCACCTACTTGGGATGCTGAGGCAGGGGGAGCGCTTGAGTCCAGGAGTTTGAGTCCAGCTTGGGCAGCATAGCGAGCGAGATCCTATCTCTAAAATAAATAGAACATAAATACATAGTTTTTGAAAACCTGTTCTTCCATGAGACTGGCTTGTTCCATTTGAGGAGTGTGGGCATAGGTGTCAATGGTTCAAGACCTGGGCTTCGCTCACTGCATGGTACTGGCCTGTCACCAGACACGAGGGCCCTGCAGCTCCACATTTTGCAGAACCTACAGAGAACTGACACTGAAGAGATATCTGATAAATACATAGCATATGGAAAGGTGTTTGAGGAGAAGCAAACCTTTTGTCCTACCAAAAAACTTCACAGTGGGAAAAATTGCAAGTGTGTTATGAGCATGGGAAGGCCTTCACTTTTGTCTTCATCCTGAGAAAGCAGGAGTACACGCACATCTTCGAAGGGCCTTACAAGTGTAGTAACATGGGGAATCCTCCAGCCAGAACTATACCTCCTTGGAGCCCAAAATACTCACCCCAGAGAAAATCCCCATAAGCGCAAGGAGTGTGGCCCAGCCGTGAGCAAAATTTTGCAAAACTCTTCTGCACCAAAATGGTCATACCCTATGAAGGACTCCTAAGTTCAGGGAAAGTGGGGCAGTGCCAGCTGTCCTGGTGGCTTCCCTGGTACCTGACTTGAGGTTCATAACTGTTATATTCAGAGCTCTGCTTTCATTAGCAAAAACAAATTAACACCAGAGAATGGCTGTACAAATGCAATAACTACATGAAAGCTTTCAGTATGAAACTTCATCTTGCAGAATTCTCACCAGAGAAAGGCCCAGTGTACGCAGCTAATGTTGGAAAGCCTCTTCGCACAGTTTTAATCCTATTTAGCACCAGCTACTTTACAGCATTGTGAGTGTAGCATGTAGGAGAGCAAAAAATTGCAGCTTCTGCCTTGATGTGCACAACGTGATTCACACTGGAAAAAACCTCTATGAGTGCAGCCAGTGTGGGAGAGCATCAGCCACAGCTCCTACCTTGCTTGGCACCAGAAACTTCACCCTGGAGAAAAGCCTTTTTATTATAGTAAATGTAGGAAGGTCTTCAGCTCCTTTAGTTAATATAAAAGAATTCACACTGGCCAGGTGTGGTGGCTCATGCCTGTAATCCCAGCACTTTGGGAGGCTGAGGCAGGGGGATCACCTCAGGTCAGGAGTTCGAGAACAGCGTGGCCAACATGGCAAAACCCCCTCTCTACAAAAAATACAAAAATCAGCTGGGCGTGGTGGCGCACATCTGTAATCCCAGCTACGCCAGAGGCTGAGGCAGGAGAATCGCTTGACATCAGGAGGCTGAGGTTGCAGTGAGCTGAGTTGGAGCCACTGCACCCCAGCCTGGGTGACAGAGCGAGACCCTGTCTCCCCCACCAAAAAAAAAAAAAAAAAAAAAAAAAAAAGACACAACTGGGCATGGTGGCTCATGCCTGTAATCCCAGCACTTTGGGAGGCCGAGGCAGGCAGATCACTTGAGGTCAGGAGTTCGAGATCGGCCTGGCCAACATAGTGAAACCCCGTCTCTACTAAAAACAGAAAAATTAGCCGGGTGTGGTGGCAGGCGCCTGTAATCCCAGCTACTCAGGAGGCTGAGGCAGGAGAATCACTTGACCTCGGAAGGCGGACATTGCAGTGAGCCAAGATCACGCCACTGCACTCCAGCCTGGGCAACAGAGTGAGACTCTATCTCAAAACAACAACAACAACAACAACAAAAACAGACCCTACATGAGTAGCCTTCAGCCATGGCTAAACCTTGTATAGAGGATTCCTCCGTGAGGAGACACTCCATGATGGCCCTGCATGTGGAGAAGCCGACAGAACCCACGTTCTGCAGCCCACTGAGGGACCTTGGCAGAGCTATGACACCACTGGGTCCTGTGGTGGAAGCCCATCTGGGTTTGATGGTTACTTCCCAGTTGCTTAATGTAAGTCACTCCCTGTTTCCTGCTTATACTACCTTGGAGGGATGGTAGGGGCCTTGCACGCATTGGGGTGGTATCATACTCACTCGTGATGGGCTTTGATATGGACATGACCCCATTCCAAGTAAGGAGCCTAATTGGATAATTTCTTTCTCTCTCTCTTTTTTTTTTTTTTTTTTTTGAGACGGAGTCTTTCTCTGTCGCCAAGCTGAAGTGCAGTGGTGCAATCTCAGCTCACTGCAACCTCTGCCTCCCAGGTTTAAGAGTTCCCCTATAGGCCGGGCACGGTGGCTCAAGCCTGTAATCCCAGCACTTGGGAGGCCGAGGCGGGTGGATCACAAGGTCAGGAGATCGAGACCATCCTAGCTAACATGGTGAAACCCCATCTCTACTAAAAATACAAAAAACTAGCCGGGCGTCGTGGCAGACACCTGTAGTCCCAGCTACTCGGAGGCTGAGGCGGGAAAATGGCATGAACCCGGGAGGCAGAGCTTGCAGTGAGCCGAGACCGCACCACTGCACTCCAGCCTGGGAGACACAGCGAGACTCCGTCTCAAAAAAAAAAAAAAAAAAAAAGAGTTCCCCTGCCTCAGCCTCCCAAGTACCTGGGACTACAGGTATGTGCCACCTCGCCTGGCTAATTTTTTGTATTTTAGTAGAGACGGGGTTTCACCATGTTGGCCAAGATGGTCTCGATCTCCTGACCTCGTGATCCACTCGCCTCGCCCTCCCAAAGTGCTGGGATTACAGGCGTGAGCTACTGCACCCGGCCTCTCTGTTTTTCTTTTTCTTCTCTTCTCTTCTCTTCTTTTCTCCTTTTCTCTCCTCTCCTCTCCTTTCTCTTCTCTTCTCTTCTCTTCTCTTTTCTTCTCTTCTCTCTTTCTATTTTTTTTGAGGCAGAGTCTCACTCTTGCTCAGGCTGGAGTGCAGTGGTGTGATCTCAGCTCACTGCAACCTCTGCCTCCCAGGTTCAAGCAATTCTCCTGCCTCAGCCTCCCAAGTAGCTTGAATTACAGGGTGGTGCCACCATGCCTGCCTAATTTTTATATTTTTACTAGAGATGGAGTTTCACCATATATTGGCCAGGCTGGTCTCAAACTCCTGACCTCAAGTGTTCCACCCACCTCGGCCTCCCAAAGTGCTGGGATTACTGGCGTGAGCCACCGCGCCCAGCCCTGATTGGATAGTTTCTGAGGGACTTGTGGGTAAGTTTCCCATTTTCCACAGACATTGTAAAGTGTGCATTTGACATCCATGATGTCTTCATTGAGCTTCATTAAGTACTTATAACAGAGGTTTTATGCATTCTTGCCATCACCTAGCCCTGGTGCCCTTACCTCAGAGAGTACACTGGACCGTGTCATAATGCACTCATCACTCATTGGTTCACCTTTGGTATTGGAGTCCTGTTTAGAGGATGGAGTGAATTGAGCATGGAGGTGATCTCAGACTGGCCACCAGGAGCCCCTGTGCACTTGACTCAGGGCACAGCAGCAGGGAGCATCTCTCTGTCTAATTGTGGCTGCCCCTGGGAAAGAATGAAAGGCTGTGTTCTGAAGCTTCCGACCTGGAGTTTGCCTGGAGAGGGGAGTGGTTGGTCTGGAAGAAGCAAGAAAGTGGCCTCTCTTCCAAGGAATGTCTCCCCCAGCAATGTCGAAAGCAAGCCCTCTGGAGGCCACCCCTTGGTAGTATGTTACCTTCTGGTATTCATACAAGCACTAGGTCAAGTATCATAGGTGGATAAGGAAACGCTGGATGTGAGGAAATAGAGCATGGGGAGCCTAGCAAACTGCTTGGTGACTGAACCCTTGCAGAATGAGGATGTGCAATGTCTTGAGGCCTGTCCACCTGTTTATCTCCCACAGCTCTACTCACAACAAAAGATTTTATGAATTCCTGTCATTTCCTAGTGGGCTGGGTACTTTTGGTTACCACCATGTGGTCAGGAACTCCAGGACTGTGGCAAACATCCTCTATACCTCCTTTTTAAAAAACAGTTTAATTGAACTGTCAAATAATATACATATAAAGTTCACCCATTATAAGTGTACAATTTAATGATTTTAAGTAAATTTATACAGTTGTACAAACATCATCTTAGCCCATTCCTATCAGACTCAAAAGTTCCTTTACAGCCTTTGCAGCTAAGATCCGCCCCCAGCCCCTGGCAACCACTAATCCTTTTTATGTCTTTTCTGGATATCTCACGTAGATGGAATCATGTAATATGTGGCCTTTTGTGTCCAGCTTTTATCACTTACTGGAATGTTTTTGAGGTTCATACATGTTATAAATCACTTTTTTATTTATTGTGTTGCTGAATAGCATTTCATTGCATGGATATGCCACATTTTATTTATTCACCAGTTGATGGACTTTTGGATTGTTTCCAGTTTTTGGCTATTATAAATAATGCTGTTATGAACATTTGCCATCTGGATGCCAGACTGTGTTAGGCAGTGTCACTTCCTTGTATTCATACAGTGGCCAAGTCAGTATACTAAATGGTAAGGAAATACGGGTGTGAGGAATTAGGGAGTGAGTGAGACCAGTGACCTGAAGGAACTGTATCTAGTCCATGGGACAGCCGCAACTTCGCTTTGATGGTTGAGTCCATGCAGGGTAAGGTTCTCAGGACCTGCAGACTTGCACATCTATCAAAGCCATACAAATGCCAAAAGGCTTTTTTTTTTTTTTTTTTTTTTTTTTGAGACAGAGTCTCGCCCTGTCACCCAGGCTGGAGTGCAGTGGTGCGATCTCGGCTCACTGCAACCTCCGCCTCCCAGGTTCAACCGATTATCCTGCCCCAGCCTCCTGAGTAGCTGGGATTATAGGTGCACACTACTACGCCTAACTAATTTTTGTATTTTTAGTAGAGATGAGGTTTCACCATGTTGGTCAGGCTAGTCTCAAACTCTTGACCTCGTGATCCACCTGCCTCAGCCTCCAAAGTGCTGGGATTATAGGCATGAGCCACCGTTCCTGGCCTTTTAAAGAACCAATTTTTTTTTTTTTTTTTTTTTTTTGTATTTTTAGTAGAGACAAGGTTTCTCCATGTTGGTCAGGATGGTCTCGTACTCCCGATCTCAGATGATCTGCTCGCCTCGGCCTCCCAAAGTGCTGGGATTACAGGTGTGAGCCACTGTGCCCGGCCACGAAAATCATTTTTATACCTTCCTGTCATGCTCCCTTGGACCAGGCACCTTTTGGGCATCACTATGTGGTCAGGAACTCTAGGACTGTTAGAAAGGCGAGACTCAGCGAGGCTTCCTGGTGAACTCTAGCAGCTGTGATCTTCATTCCTTTCTGGTTACACTCTCACTGAGGCAGGGCTAACCCCAATAAGGAATGGGAAGAAGAGGGTGGGCAAGGTAACACAAGACTGTTGGATTCTCCAGACTTCCAAGAGGAATGGGAGATATGTAACTGTATGTGGAAATCACCTTGTTTGTAAAAGTTCCTACCTATTTACAAAACACTTAAGGAGTTAGGAAAAGGTTCTATTCAGCAAAACCAATGTATAGTCCATGAATGATCCCCAGGCTACGCTATGACTTCCAGATAAGGGTTAAACCCCCTAAACGCACCCTACCCTCAAAAGGGCTGGCCTGAGAAGGATGGAGAGCCCCAAGTCTGCCCCATACTATGTCACTGGGTGAGTGGCAACTGCTGCTGTCTCTCATGCCCTTGTGCCTGTCTGCCCTACCTAGCACCATGAAGAGAGGAAGGAGATGACATCACCCGTGGAAGGACTTATATACCCTGTCCAATCTCATTGTTGGCAAAAACACAGTCAGCCAAGTTGACACCTCCCTGTTAATTCCAGAAGTTCTCTGGACCACTCAGGGTGCTTAAGACCCACCCGTCTAGAAGAAGAAATGACATCCACCCCAAAAGTATGTGCCCTGAAAACATACCTTCTGAAGTTTCTTTCAACACTACTGGAGACAGAGGTCAGTGGAGCCCGAGTAAATGTCCAGGTAAGCTGCATGAAGGGTGGGAGAGTGGCATGGGCCATCAGAGCTTAATTGTACATTGCTTGGGCAGCCACGGTTAGATCTTGAACACCTTGCTCCCATTCTGTGCTCTCATCTCTCCACTTGGGCCATTAGGTAACAGCCATGCTGGGGGTCAGTGCAGTGGGGATGTTTCCATGGTGATGCCAGAACAGCCCATGCCACAGCCTGCTGACCTTATCCTTTGACCTGCCCAGAAGTCCAGAGATGCTGTGAACGCTTACTGTAGCCTCCATGCTGGCCTTATGGGGACACCAAGATTCCTGGATGTGGAATCCACTGAGCACCTCTGCCTGCAGACTTCAGTGCCAGGGGCCACATCGACAACCCCTGACTCTCCCAATACTGTTCCTCTACCCACAAGCCCCTGTGGTTCCCTAAAAGGAGATGATATTGTTTTCCCCACTCCCTGCCTTGATGCCTAGACTCAGGCCTGACTGCAGTCATCTGCCAGGTTGTCTCTGGAAAACCTTTGACACAGGTATTGTGAATGCCCCAGGCTCTGTCTTTATCCTCACCACCACCAAGCCCAGTAATTACCCGTTCTCTTAGGACCTGACCCATCTCCACCTCCTAGGCTTTCTCCTGATCCAAGGCTGTCTGGAAAATCCAGCTCTAAGGTAACAGTTGCTTTTGAGGCTCCCCAAAGGGCTTGTGAAATACTCAGGATTCCTTTTTTTTTTTTTTTTTTTGAGGCAGAGTCTCACTCTGTTGCCCACGATGGAGTGCAGTGGAGCTATCTCGGCTCACTGCAGCCTCTGCCCCCTGGGTTCCAGCAATTCTTCTACCACAGCCTCCCTAGTACCTGGGATTACAGGCATGTGCTGCGACACCTGGCTGATTTTTTTTTTTTTTTTGAGATGGAGTCTCACTCTGTCACCCAGGCTGGAGTGCAAGGGTGTGGTCTCGGCTCACTGCAACCTCTGCCTCCCAGGTTGAAGTGATTCTCCTGCCTCAGCCTCCCGCTAGCTAGCTGGGACTACAGGCTCATGCAACCACACCTGGCTGATTTTTGTATTTTTAATAGAGGTGGGGTTTCACTATATTGGCTAGGCTGGTCTCAAACTCCTAACCTCATGATCCGCCCGTCTCAGCCTCCCAAAGTACTGGGATTACAGGCGTGAGCCGCTGCACCTGGCCTACACCCAGCTAATTTTTGTGAAATAGTCAAGATTTTAAGATGCCATTACCTAAAAGTAAGATGATTGCACAGCAGGGGACTGAATCTGAGGCTTCTGTGAGGCATCTGAGGAAGCCAGCCACAGTGGCTGGCATGTCAGTTGCAGTGCCCCCTGGAGGTGGAACTGGCTCTGCAATTCGCCTTGGTTCTACCCAAGACCTGGACCTTCGTTTGCCACCCATCCTGCCTTTGAGAGTGCAGAGAGCGTTACCTTTTGGTTTCCAGTTCTCTTCACTGAAGTCCAAACCCGAAAGGGGGTGGGGGAAGGCCCTCCAAGCTTCAATCCTTCCCTTTAACCCCTTGTTTTAGCAGCTCAGCCCACTCAATCCACAGAAGATGCCTATCTAGAGGCCCAGGCTGTTAGCCTCCAGGCCTTAGTTCACATGCTGTTAGGATGGACATACTTGTTCCATACCTTATGACCTAGAAAAACCAATGTACATTGATCAAATAAAAGGAATAGCCATGATGTTAATAACATCAATACTATTATTATTTTTATGCTTATTGAGATGGAGTCTTGTTCTGTCGCCCAGGCTGGAGAGTGCAACGGTGTGATCTCGGCTCACTGCAAGCTCCACCTCCCAGGTTCAAGTGATTCTCCAGCCTCAGCCTCCCAAATAGCTGGGATTACAGGCACCTGCCACCACGCCTGGCTATTTTTTGTATTTTTAGGAGAGACAGGGTTTCGCCATGTTGGCCAGGCTGGTCTTGAACTCCTGACCTCAGCTGATCTGCCCACCTCAGCCGCCCAAAGTGCTGGGATTACAGGCATGAGCCACCACACCCAGCCCCAACATCAGTACTGTTTGCTGACTGCTTATTCTGGACCAGTTATGCTCATGTTCACTTAATTCATATTATTTTATTGTATCCTCCCTACAGTCTTATGAGATAAGAAGTGGAGAGTATGGGCCAGGCGTGGTGGCTCACACATGTAATCCCAGCACTTTGGGAGGCCGAGGCGGGCAGATCACGAGGTCAGCAGTTCGAGACCAGCCTTGCCAACATAGTGAAACCCCGTGTCTACTAAAAATACAAAAATTAGCCAGGTGTGGTGGCACACGCCTGTAATCCCCGCTACTCAGGAGGCTGAGGTTGCAGTGAGCTGAGACCATGCCATTGAACTCCAGCCTGGGTGACAGAGTGAGACTCTGTCTCAAAAAAAAAAAAAAAAGGAAGTTGAGAGTGTGGATTCTAGACCTATTCTGGAGGCTCAAAGCTTGGCTCTCATAGTTTGTCAGGGTAACTTGTAACTTGCCATAAGGGTCAAATCTCAGTCCCTTCTCAGTTCCTGACAGGCACCAAATAGTTCATGCTGGAGAAAGGCTTTATTAATGTGGCAAATGTGAGAAAATGTTTAGCCCATGTGATGCACTTGCTTAGCACCAAAGTTTGTGTTAGAAAAAGGCATATGAGTGCAGTGAACCTAGAAACCCCTTCAACTGCTGTTGTGACCTTTTCAGTATAAAAATGGGCAGGATGCAATAGTATGCACCTGTAGTCCCAGTTCCTCAGGAGGCTAAGGTGGGAGGATTGCTTGAGCCCAGGAGTTCAAGACCAGCCTCGGCAATATAAGGAGACCCTGGCTCTAAAAACAAACATAAAACTTAAGTGACACTTGAGAGCCCTGCTGCTATTATCTTGTCAGTTTAAAAATGAATTACCAGCCGGGCACAGTGGCTCACGCCTGTAATCCCAGCACTTTGGGAAGCCAAGGCAGGCAGATAACCTGAGGCCAGGAGTTTGAGACCAGCCTGGTCAACATAGTGAAATCCCGTCTCTACTAAAAATACAAAAATTAGCCGGGTGTGGTGGTGGGCACCTGTAATCCTAGCTACTCAGGAGGCTGAGACAAGAGGATCGCTTGAGCCCAGCAGGCGGAGGTTGCAGTGAGCCAAGATCATGGCACGGCACTCAAGCTTGGGCACCAGAGTGAGACTCTGTCTCAAAAAAAAAAAAAAAAAAGAAAAAGAAAAAGAAAAAGAAAATAAAAAGTGAATTCTGCAGCACACCAAAAAGCTAATCCACCACCATCAAGAAGGCTTTAATCCTAGGATGCAAGGTTGGTTCAATATACACAAATAAATAAATGTGATTCGTCACATTAACAGAAACTGAAACAAAAAGCACATGATCATCTCAATAGATGCTGAAAAACCTTTCATAAAATTCAATAGCCCTTTGTATTAAAAGTCCTCAACAAACTAGGCATTGAGGGAACATACCTCAAAATAATAAGAGCCATCTATGACAGACTCACAGTCAACATCATACCGAATGGGCAAAAACTGGAAGCATTCCCTGGAGAACTGGAAAAAGACAAGGATGCCATCTCTCACAACTCCTTTTCAACGTAGTACTGGAAGTCTTAGCCAGAGCAGTCAGTCAAGAGAAAGAATAAAGATTTCCAGATAGAAAGTCAAAGTCTCTCTCTTGGCAGATCATAGGACTCTATACCTAGAAAACCCCATAGTCTGTGCCCAAAGGCTCCCAGAATTAATGAACAACTTCAGTAAGGTTTGAGGATACAAAATCAGTGTGCAAAAATCAGTAGCATTTCTTTCTTTTCTCTTTTCTTTTTTTTTTTTTTTAAGACGGAGTCTCACTCTGTCACCCAGGCTGGAGCGCAGTGGCGCAATCTCTGCTTACTGTAAGCTCCACCGCCTCCCGGGTTCATGCCATTCTCCTGCCTCAGCCTCCCTAGAAGCTGGGACTACAGGCGCCTGCCACCACGCCTGGCTAATATTTTTGTATTTTTAGTAGAGACGGGGTTTCACCATGTTTGCCAGGATGGTCTCGATCTCCTGACCTCGTGATCCGCCCGCCTCAGCCTCCCAAAGTGCTGGGATTACAGGTGTGAGCCACCGCACTTGGCCAAAAATCAGTAGCATTTCTATACACCAATAATATCCTAGCTGAGAGTCAAATCAACAATTCAATCTCATTCACAATAACTACAAAAAGAATAAAATACTTAAGAATACAGCTAACCAGGGGGCGAAAGATTTCTTCAATGAGAACTACAGAACAGTGCTGAAAGAAATCAGAGATGACATAAACAAATGGAAAAACGTTCCATGCTCATGGATAGGAAGAATTGATACTGTTAAAATGGTCATACTGTCCACAGGAATTTACAGATTCAATGCTATTCCTATCAAACTACCAATGTCATTTTTCACAAAATTAGAAAAAATTATTCTAAAATTCACATGGAACCAAAAAGAGCCTGAATAGCCAATACAATCCTAAGCAAAAAGAACAAAGCCAGAAGCATCACAATACCTGACTTCAAACTTACACTAGAAGGCTACAGTAACTAAAACAGCATAGTGCTGGTATAAAAACATACACCAATGCAACATGTTAAAGAACCCAGTAATAAAGCTGCACACCTACATCTATTTCGTCTTCAACAAAGCTGAACCAAATGGGGAACAAACCAATGGGGAAAGGACTCCCTATTCAATAAATGATGCTGGGATAACTGGCTAGCCATATGCAGAAGATTGAAACTGAACTTCCTTACTCCATGTACAAAAAATCAACTCAAGATGGATTAATGACAAATATAAGACCTAAAACTACAGAAAACCTAGGAAATATCATCCTGGACGGGGGCGTTGACAAAGATTTCATGACAAAGTCTCCAAAAGCAATTGCAAAAAAAAAAAGAAAAAATGAAGGAGCTTCTGCACAGCAAAATAAACTATTAACAGAGTAAACAGACAACCTACAGAATGGGAGAAAATATTTGCAAACTATGTACCTGACAAAGTTCTAATATCCAGAATCTATAAGGAATTTAACAAGCAATAACAAAAACTTTAACATATGGGCAAAGGACATGAACAGACACTTCTCAAAAGAAGACGTACATTTATGAAACAAGCATATGAAAAAATGCTCAAGTTCATTAATCATTAGAGAAATGCAAATCAAAACCACAATGAGATACTACCTCATACCAGTCAGAATGGCAATTATTAAAAAGTCAAAAAATAATAGATGCTGGCAAGGTTGTGGAGAAAAGGGAACACTTACACACTGCTCGTGGGAATGTAAATTAGTTCAGCCACTGTGGAAAGCCATTTGATGATTTCTCAAAGAACTTGGGCCTGGCACGGTGGCTCAAGCCTGTAATCCCAGCACTTTGGAAGGCTGAGGCAGGCGGATCACGAGGTCAGGAGATGGAGACCATCCTGGCTAACACAGTGAAACGCTGTCTCCACTGAAAATACAAAAAAATTAGCCAGGTGTGGTGGCGGGCACCTGTAGTCCCAGCTACTCGGGAGGCTGAGGCAGGAGGATGGCGTGAACCCAAGAGGCGGAAGTTGCAGTGAGCCAAGATTGGGCCACTGCACTCCAGCCTGGGCAACAGAACAAGACTCTGTCTCAAAAACAACAACAAGAAAACAAGCAAACAAACAAAAACTTAACTACCATTCGACCCAGCAATCCCATTACAGGCATATACCCAAAGGAATATAAATTGTTCTACCAAAAAGACATGCATTTGTACGTTCATTGCAGCACTATTCACAATGGCAAAGACACAGAATCAGCCTAGATTCCATGCCCATCAGCAATGGATTGGAT